TTAGCATGTGAGATAGTTGAATCTTTTATTGCGATTAAGGATCAGCTTCTTTCAGCCTCTCAGCCATAGATTTCACTTGCTCTTAAGCTCTTAATAATAATAATTGCTTACACTTATATAGCACATTTCTGGACACTTCACTCCACTCTTTTCTTATAACAACATTAATAACAACAATAATTTTATTTTTAAAGTGCCTTTGGAAATCCAAAGGCATCAACATCCAGAGGGATCCAAATCAATGTGATGCTGTACAAATTGATAAGAAGAAGAGGAATGTACCATAAAACGTACATCAAATGAAACAAACGTACAGGACAAACCGTAAGGCAATCAGATATAGGCCCTGGTGAAAAGCTAAGTTATGAGTTTGGATTTGAAAAGAGTCAAAATAATTTCTCTTGAAGAGTCGGAGGAATCGGAATTAAAAATGTTTTAATTTCTAAAATACACTGTGGAATCATTACAGTTTCCGGAAGTATGAGCTCATGAGCTCATCGCTTTCACTTTCAGTTTAGGGAGAAATTTAAAAATTAAAACACTGTTCCTGTGGCAAACTGTTCTGGGTCATTGGGCCTAGCTGTGTTGAAAAAAAATACGAACACAAAGCACAGTGACCAGTTAAATGACAGTTTTGTTTTGCTTTCAATGACAATCATGATATCTAGCAAATGGTAAGTTGTTTGCATTAATGGTTTGATTGAAGACCCATTATTCTGTATTTGAATTTTCTGACAACATCTCAAGCAAAAACCTCCTGAGAGTAAAATGCAAGGAATGTCCCCCTTTTGTAGTAAAACATACAATTGTGGCATGACATGAAATTGAGTCTCAGTATTTGCAGTCATTTCCTGTGAATGACATAGCCTGTAAAATGACTAACACGTTCCACTATTTAAAAGAGGCAAAGCATATTAACCTTTTGTTATGGAATTAATATTTATATTATTTCTGGGATTTATACCACACTATTCTGACAGAATATCTGATTTCCTACGTGTCCTTTAATAAGAGCAATGCTTTTAAGACGTACTGGTTATAACCCATCCACTGCTGGTTATCTGGTTATCTAAAGTCTTTAGAAAGGATGTCGGAAATCAAGAATCGCCGCTGGGGTTCAGAGAACAGCTAGTGATTGAGGTTTATCTCATTCCCTGGAGGGTTTTTCTGCTTGATTCAGTAAACAAAAACCTTGCCTTGGCGCATGATTTTCAAACAAATATGCAATCCCACCTTAGCCAAGTGACAGGAGGAGTCTTAACAACCACATTAAATAGGTACTTGTGTGTTGATTAAGGTCGGAAATGTCGCACAGTGTACTGTTTTTCTAAAGGTCTGCATTAGAAACTCGAGGCTTCCGGACACCAACAGATCTCTTGTCTACGCAGCCCCCACCCCCTAATCCAACCCATCGCACCCACTCGATCCCTGTTGGAGCTTGTGATTGTGGGCACCCCGGCGATTACTCATACGATACTGTTCCGAATGATACACGTTGAAACATGTATAAACGGACTGACGGTGTTCAGGAAATGAAAAATGATGGTCTGTGCAATAAAAAAATGCTTAAAACGGGTCGTGAAGGTGCGGTGACTTTTCTCCGTTAATGGTAAATACTTTACTGGATAGCGCCCGTCTTTTCAGTTCGCGTTTTAATGTATGTAGAGCCAAGTCAATTTGAAGCTGTTCCCTTTTTTTAATTCATGTAGCCCAACAACCAAATAAAATGCTTATAAAAGCATGTTTCACACTTGGACTTGTCGCCAAAATTGGTTTTTGATAGTGACGGTTCGATGTGCTGATCTACAGCCGGGCTCAGATGCGCTCTATAATTACCAGTGGTTGATAGTTTAGGTTTTAATTTTACTTTTAATTCAACAGGTAACAGAACTCTTCTCATCATTCTTTGCGCTCCGGACTGTTGTATTCGTGTCTTTTTCAGTGGTTTGTGATCCACTGATCAAAGCAGACATGCAATAACCTCTTACTTTGTCGCCATACTGAATTATTTTTTAGAAATTCCTCGTTAAAAACAACAAAAGAGAATAACAACAAGCCCAATAAACGATACCAAGCACACTACAGGCGCTCAACCTAGAAAAACGTCAATTTTAAAATCACTACCTTCCTACGTACGATAAGCACAGAAAACATACCAAGTATTTTAAATAAATGACTTTTTTCCGTGCGAATTTTCAGTGTAGTCATTTATTTAGTAATTTTGGAAACTACCTCGCTTTTGAGTATTTTTTTTCACGAATGACAGACTTTTTAGATTTATTGTAAGGGTAGCTTAATGTTTAAAATATCACTGGCAGATTCAATTAAACTTTCCCGAGTCTTTGTAATGAACGGTTTTTAAAAACATTCCCCTTGAATTCAAGCCAAGCTTCAAACCTTCATGGCAACTGTGTAGCAACAGGCGTCCTGCGCCTCTCAAGGCCGTCTCTGATTGGCCCGCTGCTTCGGTGCTGCTCGACCATTGGTCGACAGAAAGGCACAGCGAACTACTTGACGCTAGTCGGGATCCATTTTGTGTCAAACACACAGAAGAGGGAGAAGGAGAAACTGATGGTTGTGTGACGTTATTCTGCGCTCAAAATAGTCGTGTTCACGATTTAACATCTGCGCCCCATCTAAGACATTGCTTATCTGCACAAACCACCGTCTGTGGGGGGCAGTTATAAACACCAAGAGAAAAGAAGTCGGTAAGAGATTTCAGTGTCTTTGTGGGGCTTTTCGTCCGACAGATTGTTGTTGTCGTCAATGAGTACGGGCGCCATGTTGAGGAAAGAGCCGAGCTCTTTGTTTTGGTTCGATGCCACATAACCGTGACCTATTTTCTTACTTCTGAGCTTTTGTTTGTCTTTTAAAGGAAAACATAGCGTTCGTTGACTGAAGGAGTGGGGGGCATTGTAGACAGATCGAGGTTTAGATATTTTTTTAAAAGTAGACGTCATTATTTTTGACGAGTGTTTTTTTTTTATTACGCTTGCCATCAGCTAGCTTAGTCTGTAGTCGATGGGGTTTTTGTTTTGAAAAACTTTTTTAAATAAACGGATTAAAAAACAAACAAAATCCCCAGAGCTCTTCTTCGGTGTATAGAAACAAAAGGAGACCGGGGAGTTTTGTGTCCTGTCGGTTGTGATCCGGAGTGAAACCTGTTTCTGCAGATACCTGGCTTCTGGGACAGCCGTGGGCCGGGAGGATTGATGTTCGGCTCGGCTTCTCGGTACAGCCCCGATTTCCGGCACATGAAAACGCCAAACCTCGCAGGACTGACGCCATCAGAGAGAAGTGGATTACGACCAACTTCGAGGACCTGGAGCCCCGTCGGAGAGGAGAAGTTAAGGGGAAAGGAATCCAACAGGTTGTGCTTCTCGACGGCTAAGAGGTGAGAAGCCCCAGCCGAGATGCGGGCGGGCGGTGGGGGCTGTTGTGTGCATCTGCTGGGTTGTTGACGAACGAACACTTTCGATGATCACCTGGCTAACATATCTGTAACAGAGTTGGGAATTGTAGGACAACCTCGGGGTTGCACTAAAGTTTTTGTAAAAGTTTGCGGGAAAAAAAACAACCAAAATGACAAGAACCTCTGCATGCAGTCGGGAGATGCAGTTTGAAGGATGATTAGAAAAATGGATGGACCATTTTGTCCAGTACTCTGGCAGGGTAGCTACAGCCTGTCCTGGCAAGCAATGTCGGATGACAAGTTGCAACCCGGATGGGATGTTAATCCACCGCAGGGCAGTCAGACACAAATGAACACTCACACCAGTTTTCCCAGAAACCAGTTCCTACCAGTATGTCTTTGGAATGGGGTATGAAACCCATGTGAACATGATGAGAGCAAACAGCTAGTACCTCAGAAGCTAACCATGCTGAGTGGGCTGCCATTGTTCAAAAGCAGTGTTTCAGACATTTGTAGGTAGACTCTGAACAGCACTGAGGCTCATGGGACAGGAGGGCTGCATTGTGCGCATGATCAGAGCCTCTTCCCCTGGTGCTCCAAGCTGCTGACGGGGCCCTCTTTGTTTTTCCCCCACAGGTGACATCTGGAATCAGAGAACGATGGGTGGCGGTGAGAGATACAACATTCCAGTTCCCCACCTTGAACGGGGCATGCTGATGAAGAACCAGCAGCTGATCGTCAGCAAACAGCGAAACAAGGATCAGAACGCAGCGGCCGCAAGGGCGGGTCACGCCAAGAGGGGGGAGAGGGGCCAGAGCGGCTCCCCCCGGGCTCCAGACGCGCGGCAGGCCGCGCAGATGGACAGGAACACTGTGGGCTTTGCCTCTTGCAACCAGAACTGGGATGCTGCCATGTCCCAGTTCAACACCCTGCTGAAGTCCCAGTGTAGCCAGAATTATGCCGGCGCAAAGTTCAGCGAGCCACCGTCACCAAGTGTTCTTCCAAAACCGCCCAGCCACTGGGTGTCTGTTCCCTTGGCGCCTTTTGATCACAGAGAAATTATGACCTTCCAGCTTAAAAGTCTTCTCAAGGTTCAGGCCTGAGGAGCAGATGTTTAATTGAAATGAGGATGTTTCCACTGTGTTTTCCTGCCTGTAAGTTTAAAGTGCTTTTTTTACCATGTTTTGCTGGGTGTGAAGGGTTGTAGAGCACATTATAACTGCAGGCATGTGTACAATAACAGCAGCACCACTTTACTGGCAGGTTAACAATGTGGAAAGGTCAGTTTGGATGCTCAACTGGACTTGTTACGTTTTTGCTGTAGTTTTTTATTTTTATTTTCTCCAATTGGCTACACTTGACAGGGAGCAGGGTCAGCTTCCGAACCAATACCTTTGAAGTTTGACCGCCATTTGTTTACACTGGTGTTTTCCAACACCTTTTTGAAGCAAATGTCTAGAGCAAAAACCTAGCAGGTCTGTCCTTTTGATTTGTACAGGGCTCAAAATTAATCGGTTTTTCTTTGCTAACAGGAGCCACTTGATGATCTTCTGTATGGTGCAGAGAACCTACAGATTGTAGAAGAATTTGCTGTAATATGCACAAATTACACTTTAAAGCTCTTAAACTGACGTCTTTAACTAGCCTTGCTCTAGTTTGAGGACTGTGTAACGCAACTCTTGTACTTTTAATGCGCTGTGCGCACTGCACTATAGGAGTTGTGTATAAATACAGGTCTGTAAGCTTCTTGCAATAGAATATTTAGGTCTTTACATTGTTTATGCATTAGTCAGCTTGTTTACCAAAGCAAAGGTTTTGTCCCTGTAAGATTGTTTAAAGTGCCATATTAACTGGATCAGATCTGACTTTATGGTTATAGTCATTTACTGCATTGAAGCGTACTATGCTTTTTACTTTGTCTTAAATAGACAGCAGTATGAGGACACTGTATTACTGAAATTAAGCAAATGAGTGTCAACCCATTTGATTACAGGATCTTGCTTGCTTTCACTTTTTTGACCCCCTTTGTTTGCAGGATCTTGTTTGCTCTCCTTTTTTGTGAAGAAGGAATGCCTGACGTGGTACAGAGGACTTAAGGCGTTGGGTGTGTTAATACAGCACTTCTCGTTTACATGAAAAGGTCTCAAGGTGGCTTGCCAGTGTACTGATTTTTTTCACTGCCTTGGACTTACTGTACTACTTGCACTGGTATGACATTGTGTACATAGGCTGATAGGGCATATGGCCCCTCGACAGTTGCATAGTTTCTCATACTGTACACTTCTGATAACTTTTTTTAATTTTGAGCCTTGTAATCCCATTCGTTCGAAGATGGCTTTTCTGTGCAAGATGGTAGCTATTATGGCTGTAAAAATGTAAGCCTGATTTGAAAGAGCCATGTAAATAATGACATGTAAAACTTGTAGCATATATTTTGCAGGAGTTTTTACCTGCTGGATAAAGTATTTTTAGTAAGAACACTGAATGTAAAAGTCATGCAATGGACATGACTTGTTAAATGCAGAAGCTATTTTGTTAAGAAAAAAGAAAAAAATGTAATGAGCACACGTGTCTGCCCCGTTTGGTGTCACCAATGATCTTGCACATAATGTTTTTAGTTTTTGAAATGTTTTGTGTTGCGTTCAGTACTAAAAAATGCTTTTATTTAAGTACATTTTTAATGAAAATGAGTTTAGAACATTTTTGCATGTATGAAGTAATTAAGGAAACCCTATTTCCAGTCCTTGAAATTCTATTGCATTGTGTTTTCATATAGCCAACATCTTAAACTGATTAGGGAATCGGTTCTGCTGTGGGGTGGGTGGGTGGGAAGGGTTGTGAAATGTGAAATGGGTGATGATTTAATGCAGGGCTTTTCATTCCTGGTTTCTGGGTGACTTATGGTATTGTAACTGACCTCTTTCTAGCTTACTCTGTCACTGGATCCAGGTTCTTTCAAAAGAATGTTAGTAACTGGAAATCAACAACAATTTAAAGTGCTTCAAACAAACAACTGTGCTCCCAGAACCCAGATTGACTTCCCTGACAAACAGTTACAGTACCTCTGTTCCGTTGCTGAATTATGTCACGGTACTTATTCAAGTCAGGTGTGTTTAAGACCTGTGTAGGAATGTGCTACTTGACTACCTCTTCACCAGTGTCTCTTTGAATAGGCAACTGCCAAAGTTAACTGTTTGGTTACCAGCATTACTCCTTGCTTGTGGTGAAAACTAGTTGCATGGAGGCCTGTTGCACTTATCTCTGCTTTTGTTCTCAGGGCCTCCATGGTACAGTGTTTTCATCTTAAATTCACTTTGTGGTTGCTAAGGGCAGATTAACATTGTAGAATAGTGTTGTTGAAGTTGTTCTTAATATTCATGTTTTAATTTGATCGGTCTGTACATGCAAAAATCTTCTAAAGCTCATCTGAAGCGCACATGTTAAAAGTTCCAGGATGAATTAATTGGCTGCTAATTAATTTCCCTTCTGTTCATTCCCGCATCGGTAAAAAGTTGGACCCAAGAAACAAATCAGTCTTTAAAATTGTAAACCTTAAGATATTGCACTATTAATGAATTTGGCCGCTAAAATAAAATTTCCTTTCCTTGTCCCCCCCAACATTTGTCTGGTTTTTATTTATTTGGGTAAATGACAGTTTAATACTGTAATTCAGGCTCTGGTGTGTTTTTTCACAATTGTACATGAAGGCTGTAGGATTTAAATCAACTGTCAGAACGAGTTTTCAAGTATGTAGGAGTGAACCAGTCTCCAGAGATCACACGAACGATAAGAAACTTAACTTGTCACACTGCACTACACCTTTTCAAGAACCACACTGTATTTGCTCCTAAACTATATAGTCCTATGTTATCTACTCTTGCCCAAGTATCAAACGGCATTAATAAAAGAATTTGGTTGGAAGTTCTTTTGGGGTTGGCATTGCTGCCTCACAGCACTAGGGCCCTGGTCTTGAATCAAATTGTCTACTATTCTCCTTTTTTGGCACTACTACGGTCTTCATCTTCAACCCTGGTTGACCTGCATTTGGCAATATAATTATTTTTCCCTGCAAGCATAATAAAAAATCCTGATTTGTTTACTGTACAGCAAGAGCAAAGGGTGGCATGGTGGTGCAGTGGTTAGCATTGTGGCCTTGGTGGGCTGAGGCCCTGGGGTTAATTCTGGACCTGGGGTACTCTGCATAGAGTATATGTGTCTGTGTGTGTGTTCTACCACCCTCAGTTTGATGAAGTTGGAAAATGGATAAATTGTGTGGGTGAAAAAAAAATATATAGTGCAGGCAACTGAAACCTTCACTAGAGGTCCTGCTATCTTTGTTTTGAGTAGTAGAAAAACATGACTGTCACAGTATGATATCTGATTTTGTCTCTCACAACACTATCATTTAATTGACCCTGTACAATTTTGCAACATTGATTACTTTGATACAAATTTGCTTAACATTGCAGATTTTCAATAGCAGAGCTCTAATTAACACTGTTGAGGAAAACTTCTCATCACCTATAAAGGTTTCCAATAATTTCAAACTTACAGTACAGAAAAAGGGTGGTCAAACTTAAGAATTTCCAGCAGCATAGAGAAACATGGATCTTTCAAAACCAGCTCAGTATTTTAACCGTTTTCCCCTTACTGCTCTGAGATGTAAATTGCTTTTGTCCCATAGTACTACACTTTCCCTAATATTACTAGTGGCATGTTGACTAATTTGCCATTCCTTACTTTTAACATTTGTTTTCATGTGATTTGTTGGTAATATTAAAGCTGCAAAAACAACAAAAAACAACATTTAATAGAATTGCCTACAACTGTAACTAGTTATGAATTAAAAAAAACCTTTTGAGACTGAAGGCACATATCCCTAAATGTTTCTGCAATTACTAATTGTGAAGAAAAAACAACAGTATGGCACATCTGCAAATGCTGAAATTGATGCTGATGAAATTTTGTGTAAGGTGACACCCTTATAAGCATTCAAAATATTAATCCAAAAGAAAATTTAAGATGGAGGTTTCTGCCAGCAATTCTTCCAGAAGGTTAGGCATTTATATCAATGTTTTAGAATATATCATTTTATATCACGTGATACGAGTTAAAAACTAAAGTCCATAAGATAGAAACAAAAAACCCTGGATTACACTGTTGTAATGCTTGATTAAATATTTGAGAGAAATTTGAGCTTCAAAGTCTTAGAGAAAGTTAACAGATTTAACACTGATCCATTATAATTTGATAAATCCTGTACAAATTTCCTATACAACTAATGTTACCTTACTGCCAAAGAAAAATGTCCACATTCCTTTTCAGTACTGAAATTTCATGCCACTTCCTTTCTGCATTCGTGAAGAATAGTGAATACAAGGCATACATGCAGCAAATTGTCAAGCAAAACTTTTATTGTATGTTGATAATATAAAATGTTAAGAGTTACAGAAGTCAGCTCTAGACCGTTATAGGGCAGTACTGTATATACAAACCATCAAGGAAGCAGCTAGTTTTTTCAATGTAACTCTAACATTGACTTCGCCCGCACCCCTCAAAAGAAACATACAGGCTGTGACTCCTTGTATATAAGGAAAACACCATGTACACAGTCTGTAGAATACAAAAGAAGTGTCTACATCTATTTGAGATATAATTCAAAGCCTGTAGGAAGAAATTGTAAAGACAAATCTTGACTGGCTGTAAAAGAAGTTATTGCATAAATCATTTCCCATTATATCTATGCACTCTAAAAAGGTTTCAAAACCAAAAGCTGGCTGTCTACATAAAAACACAAAATTACATATTTAACTGTGATGCACTTGTTCTTAAAAGACAAAACGTAGGCTCTGCTTCCCTTCATTGGCGAAAACAATCAGCCATCACTTTTACTGCTGTAGCCATAAATTAGAAGCTCATATTTTTAAAACCCCGTTTCAGTTTTCATTGGTTACTGATAAACCAATGTGTCACAAACCTGGGAAGATGTCCAAATGTCAGCACATGAAAACACGACTAGAACACTGCAAATCTGTGACCCAGCAAAACTAAAAACACAGGTATAAAGAAAAAATCTAAATTATTGAAACTGCAACTCCATCTCCCTTTTGCCTATGGGGTAGCCAAAATTAAGCACAGCCAACAAGATTTTCTCTACAGGTTTCCAATAATTCCTTTACAGAGTTTGGGTCACTGTAACAGGTACAATGAAGAGAATACTTGTCACAACAGCAGTTCTGCAGTAGCATTATAATGAAATAAAATCCCATTTTTCACTGGAAGACCATGGTTTTGTTTAAATTGAGCAAACTGACCAGAAGGCAAGCAGTTCCTTAGAGAGCTACTCAGTTCACAGGTGAAATATGGGGGGCTGAGATCACTACTCTTCCTGTGCATGCCGTACCCAGAATATGCCTTCTCTAGGCCCCATTGTTAATCATAAACTGCACTCCAGAAAACACTATAGCAAACAGAACAGAATATTAGGGCTAACAGGGAATGGGAGATATATAGTTTGACAATATAGCACTGAGCAGCCCTTTAAGTGTTGACAACAGATCACACAGCTGTAAAACACTTTTCATTAAACAAGGAAAATCCTACAGGCCTCTAAGAATAGTCAAAGATGTGGTGATAAATACAAACACATGAATATAATTTACATTTGCACACAAGAAACCAAACATCATAGAGGTTAGAGTAAAAGTGGGCTACCATCAATAGTATCATGAATAGAAAAGGGATAATAGTACAAATACGCTCTCTAGTCCCAACTTTGACTCTATCCTTTACACACCAGTTTGTTCCAGAAACAATGCTCACTTTAATACTTCAATTTATACGCTTGCGTTACAGCAACAGGTTCTCATCTTTACCATTTCTGTGGTCTTTATAAAACTGAAAGCTGAAACACAAAAGCAATACAACAGACCACAATTCAACTATATATATATAAAAAGAATACTGTAGCTTGTCTTCTACAGAGGCTGAACCAATGTTTATTTGAAAGATGTTTTTTTTTTGTCGATACTCAGTGTCACATGAAGTAAAAAACAAAATGTAAGCAAACGAGCAGGACATCCGTCTAATGGCCGCCAGATTTCCGACCCGCCCATGACCGTGATCTGGACCGTGATCTCGACAGAGATCTGGAGCGTGACCTCGATGGAGATCTCAGTCCGGAATCCTTCTGAGACTCGGACCTGGACCGCGAGTTTGAGGCGGGATGGAAATCTTCCCCTGCTGGGGTCAGGGACTTGGATCTGGACCTTGACTTGACCTTGGTCTCCTTCTTAGTTTTTGATCTTGACCTGGAATGAGATTGAGATCTAGATTTTGACCTGCTGCATGAGTGATTGTGCCGTCTGTACCTGGGGGAAATAAACACTTTGCAATTTAATGACAACCGTTTCTCTCGAGTTTAAATGCCCTCTGTGTCCATCTTTGACACAAATCCATAGAGATGAGACATCCCCAGCTTATGTTAAAACCGCAGAACAAAAAGGTTACTTTTTTCTAACTTAAAACCTCTCTCTGGTAACACAGTAAACATCAAGAACTAAAAACAAAAAAAGAGAGAACTTGTGTGGATTCAAAAGCCAGACCCACCTGTCATTTTCTTGACTTTTGCTTCGTCTGTGTTTCCCATGAGATCGTCCACGGGAGCTGGAGGGAAAAGTGCCGTCTTTTAAATAACTATTGTAACAGTAAAGCAACATCTTTAAACTATAATTTGTCTTGTAAAAAGCAAGACAGGAACATCTTCCCGTGTTCACTTACATAGAGTGCAGATGAAGTACAACTGCCCCACTGTTTTCAGTAAGTGTAATTTGTTAGGATGATCCACTGTAATTTTTATTTTTGACAATTTATTAGAGCTGGATCAATACGATATTAAATATAAATATTAAAGAGGAACTGCAGTCCCAATTTCTCAGACTGGTTATTAAATCTAATTAATTTAACTGCCAGTATTTAACAAATTGTTCAAATTCCAAATTAAGCACAAAATTGTGAACTTTGTGAAGGTTGTCTTAAACCCATGGTCTCCATGGGCGAATTGCAATGAGGCAGTTCTTCTTACTTGCTAGTCACTGTAATGACCAACGTAATGTGATGTACAAGCAAATAAGTACAGGTTGTGCACCAGACATTTCACCACAGGAATGTTCCGATGTAATCTGCATGTAGAGTTAACAAGTAAGTTGTATTTGCCAGAGTCTAGAGCAATACGTCTATTGGATTAAAAGAGATGTATTCACAAGCTTGCTTGTTTACACTGTAAGAGGACCGCTTCATGTCAAAGGAAGTTTGAAGAATCGCAGAATACTACACATACCTAGAAATTGTCTATTTTCCACTTTGTCTAAATTGGAGGTTTTACAAGTTACCAAATACATTTAACTTTCATTGTGGTTTGAAATGCCGATACTTTCCAACCCCTAAATATAAAAATAAGAGTTGCAGTTCCCCTTTCCATACATCAATTCATTAAATCACTTGAAAAACAATATTTAATAATGAAGAGTGTTGGAGGGAACAAATTTCAACCTTGATCCCGGAAATGAGTTTAACCACCTGTGTTTAACAGCAATTACAGTACTGCCTTAAAATACAAGATTACAAGACTGACTTCTGGCACTAGTGATGTATGTTTTCTTACCTATTTGTTCCTGCACCAGCAGTATCCAAAAAGACAAAAAATAATTCTAAAACTGTAACTAAAATAATAGAAAATGCCACTGGGTATTTGGAAACTTTTCACAAAGAATCCAAACTCGTAGGCGTCATGTACGAAACATTGTCGAATTCTGGTGAATTAAGGGCGATCCAGCCCATCGATGAAAACCTACTGCAGTAAGAACACTGACCCAAGAAAGAAGGAAATGACCAAATTATCGCAACATGTTATTCTTTCCATTTTTGATTCCCCCCCCCCAATGTCTTCCAAATATCTTGTAACATACGACATTTAGATATAATATTTAGTGGGGAATATAATTTAACACTACCATCACAGAGAAATATTAAGCTTATGAGTTTGTCAAAGTGTCCATATGCTTTTGTAATAAACATTTACCATATCCATTAATTACACCTGATAGGCAGAGATGCATCAATGGTTTAAAAACAACCTTTAGTCCAGACCTACTATTTCTAACCCCAAATTAAGTAAAATCACTTGGATGGGAACTTAAAGTGTAGTCAGAGCTATAAAAGGCAAATAATTATGAATCAGACAACTCTGGTTTAATTGTGCATTGTTTAATGTGTACTGTTAAATTCCTCTTATGTTTTTGGTTTGATTTATAATCACTTAAATTCTCCTTCCTCCTAATATTTATAATTTATTCATACAATGAAATAATTGCACATCGTCATCTTGTGCACAATCTCTTTCATTCTGTAGAAAATTAGTGCTGATTTTAATCGTATTTTTCTACTAAAGCAACAAACCAAATAGTTACCAAGTTGAGAAAAGCAATGCAACACTTGAACATCTACAGCAGTGATTAACCTTGTTCCTGGAGAGCCCCAATCTGGTTACTCTTTCAGGTCACCCTGTGTCACCTTTTTCTTTCCTAAGACTCGGAAAATATAGGTGTTTTAGTCAATTACAACAGTAATCTGTTCAGTTAAGGGCAGTCTGGAGCTCGAAGGGCTGCCAGAGCTTTACAGTTGTGTCCTACATGATCTTCAAATATATTATATTTAATTGCTTGTGTAACTGATCAGTTAAAGGTCTTTACGAAACTGTTGATTTAATAGCTACAGTTTTTTAATACAAAAACTGCTGGATTTGGGCTCTTCAGGACCAGAACTGGAGTCTCCTGATCGAGGCAGGACTGAAGACGGAAGAGAGAAACCAGCTATATACATGATCATCTTCCGTCTGCATGGAGGAGAACGTTCTTACTCTCTGGGGCTTTCGGACCTCCTCGGCCTCCTCTCATACGAGTGGCTTCTGGACCGTCTCCTTTCATAACTCCTGCTCCGAGACCTTCGGCGCCTGGCGTCTCGATCGTAATCATCATAGCGGGAGAAACTCCGCGGGGACCTTCTCTCTTTCATCTTCATCTGATTGGGAGCTGTTGAAGAAGGGGTCATGAGAGTGCCATTTAAACATTCACTTCTTTCTGGATTCACTTCTTTGGAAAATTACAGCCCCTGTAACTTGTATACTGCACTGCTTATTCCCTGGGAATCCTCCTACAGTATACAAGGAATACTTGCAAAAATAATCCACAATAAACAAAACACTAGCGGACGCTCTGGAGTGGCTCAAGCAGTAAGACTACATGCTCAGACAGCCCTCTTGTCCTGAAGTTGGCAGAGGTGGTGAGTGAAGTGGAGATGCTACCAGAGTTGTGCTGACATTAGTCAGGCAGGGATCTCTCAGCTTTCCAGCCGAGTTAGACAAAACCAGGGACTTCTGTGATGCCTGCAACACCTACAGGGATTTCAGTGAGGGACGCACTGCTCCCCTGATCAGTGCTTTCTCTCCTATCGGGAGATGTGGAGCTTTCCCCAGAGATAAATGTCCCTGCTGGCATACATAGAGGGAAGGTATTATTTGAGCATGCCTCTAATTGAAATTTCTACCGGGCAGTCAGGGATTTGCAGCCAAATCAAAGTCATATTCAATTGGTGATTCAAAATTTGTTAACAAAAACTGGAAATTTGCATACACAAAAGCATGGTCACATAAAATGGTTGTCTTACTTTTTCGGTCTCCCTGGGCAAACTGGATCTCAATTTGACGGCCACACACCCACTTCCTGTCCAGGTTGTGAAGGGCATCCTCTGCATCACGGACATCTTCAAACATGCTGAGCTGTTAAGGCTTTTCTGTTTATATTTTTGGCACTCTTGAGGGGAGAAAACACTACTGTTGCGCACGCACACACGACTGCACACTTAGCATTGAGAATCTTATTGCAGTTACTTATTACAGCAGTTCTCACAATTAATTGACTTCTACAATTAAAAACAAGACAAACATGCTGTTCTTCTGGAGATTAAAGAAAAGGCAAACAAGATTCATAAACATTTTTGTAAATTTAAGGTAACTCCATTACTGTTCAATTCAGGCAAAATACAGTAGATTAAAAGTAAACAACAAACTATAAACTTTTGTGAGTTTACGATTTTAAAAGAATATGTTCCATGGTTTTACAATTAAGTCATAAACGTCAAAAATTAAATGAAACAGGTATTTTTGGTAGGATACAAAAGTTAAGTTTGTTACCTTAAACATGCTTGACTTTCACCTTCATCTTGACCTTTAACTCTTTAAACGCTTTCCAGAAGAACTTGGTTTCCTGCTTGGCTTTGCCCAATAATCTTTTTTTCTCTTTTGCAGACAAATCGAAGCCTTGATGCCCATTTTGGTCCCTTTTCCTCTTTGTCTCTTCAAGCTTTAAATTCTCTTTATTTTCAACCTTTCCCTTTCTCTTTTTCTTGAGGCCTGATCCTTAAGCGGTCTTTGGCTTGTCTTAATTCTTGGAATCTACTCTAAATGGTTCTCTCCTACTTTCTCTGTGGGGTCTCCAGTACTGTATGGCTTTATATAGTCTGGGGCAACAACAGAAGAAATTTAAGTTAGGAGAGAAAACTTATTTTCTTCTTGTGAATCCCTAAATACAAGAACAGCTACAATCATTCAAATGAATTTTCAGACGCCCCCACCCCCCAGACAAACCAATTACTGCCAACTTAAGCAGTGCAAGACTTTAAAAATAAATTACCCAGTCCCATCCCTGTAGTGGAACAGTTTAGTATTTATAAGTCGGGGACCTGCTCACATTTCACTGGAGCACAGAACCCAACGACCAAAAAGGCCCCACAGTCTCCAAGCCAGTCACAAAAGTTTGTGGAAAAAAAACTGGCAGCAAACTCTGGCAGCTTCCAGTGCGGGCCGCCATCGACAGATGTTTTTACAAGCTCTGGTGACAGATGGATGGATGGATGTGGGTCTCCGTTTTTGCCTTTACATGGCGCAGGCAGCAGCTTCAGTGCAGCCCCTTTCAGGGATGGTTCAGGCTCCCATTACAGACCAGTCAGATCCATTTCAGGATTCCCGAGTAGCAGCTCGCGGAACAAACTGCACTCGCACGCGATGTGAACGCGACATTTGTATATGCAAAGAGGCTCAAAATAACTTTACAAACTTTGCACATCCAACACTTAATTTTGTGTTTCCGGACAAGACTTTGGAGCTTGTAAAAACAATCTGATGGCTCAAACTGCCCAGCAAAAGAAGACCTACTTCCATCCCTATGTAAACATCAGTATCTCAAAATTCAGACTGATGCAGAGATTAAAAGATAAAACAGGAGATCCCTCACCACATCCAAAATTAGCCGAGCGTATTTAAGATTTCCATCCGCCTTTATAACATTGCAAACCACTAGAGTTCAGGCAGTGTCATCACTTTTGTGTTAACATTTGTGAAGAAAGGATATTGAATGTATGCAAATCCTCTGGATCGTCGAGTATAGAAGTCAACTGGAATGTAGACATCTACTATTGGCCCATAACGACCAAACTCACGACGTAAATCCTCAGGCCTAAAGTACCGTAAAATGACAGCAGCTTTACTTCACTGGATTGCACACTGCCTTATGACTGATACAGACTGACACCATTAGTGGAACAGGGGGTAATCATACCACAGATGAACGACAGGCGTGCAGAGGCAAGCCCAAGGATGATGATAGACCCGTGCAAAACGCCAATATCTTCATATGAGCGCCAGTTTATAAGGCCCACATTATTGGCCTTTTATGTCCTTTTTAATTGGGCAACGGAGCTGAGGAGCTGTAATTGAGTCACTGCATGATTCCAATTAACGTATTAAAGCATTAATGCGGTTTTACAAGCCAACAAGTCTTAAAGGCACACGGCCTGAACAGGCTTTGAAATGCTTTAATTGTTTATCATTTTTGGGAAGGGGAGAGGAGGAGGGGGGCAGGGTTTGTTTGGTGTACTCCTCGAGCAAACAATGCAGTAACTGCAATTCAGAAGAGGACGTGTGGTAGAGAACAGCTCGGCGCTCGGGGGGGCGATTTCATTTAAAAATCACACCGAGTCAAGTCGGGGTCAAACTCCGCCGGGTGCTCATCGATTTGAAAGACTGGCACCCCTCTGACAGACAGGGGGCTGCGTTACTGGAGCTCCACTGAGCACAAGTCACTCCGTCCCCTGTCGTGAGCAATCGCGCAGTACAGCGTCTCCCCAACAGAGCCCTCGGCGAAACACGCTCGCATCTGCACCCTGCGCCCCTGAGAGCAAAGCACGCTGGCTGTTCCGGCCATTTTACAAGTGTTTCGAATCGCGATTAGTCACAATCCTGGAGTATTTTATACGCCTTAGCTGGAAATATAACTGCTGTGACGCTTGCTAACTACTTCAGCCCTACTTGACGATTTCGAGCTAACAACTGGGACTTTGCTAGTGCAAAAGAAGCAGATGTCGAATAAGAAGTCCGTATTTTCACATACGTGGGCATACAGTATCCGGAGCAAACCCACATCTTTCTGACGACCCTTTTAGGTACTCAAAGCATAAAGCCCAGCTCGGGTGCAGAGCAAAGCGTGAAACACCGTGAAGCCGTAGGTCTGAAATGCGAGGCAATGGCAGTCATGTTTACCCCCTGCTCTCACGGCTGCCACGCAGGCAACTCGGCCGCGCACACAGAGCGCCGCCGAGCACGCCTCCGGGGCAGAAACACGGAGAACAATCCGCAGCGCTCGCTCCGTGTGCAATCCCAGCCCCACTAGAGCCCGTCTCGCCTTCCGCTTCGCCCCCAGCCCTCCCTCGAGGCCAGGCGCGAGGCCCGGTGCGAAAGGCCGGAGCTCGAGCTGCAAACAAACCCCCCAACCCCCCGTAACGGCCGCAGAGCTGCTTACCTGGATTCGTCGGAGATATTCCTGATAAAAAGAGACGTATTAGGAGGCCGCAAATATCTGGCCATGGCGAAAAGAATATATATGTATGTCTCTCACAACCGAATGTAGCTGTCGTGAAATGAAAACGCTGGCGCCGAAACAATCGCAGTTACGACTCCAGCGAGCGGAGGAAGGAGCTGCGCAGACGCAGTAAGCGGTGACCCGGACTGGAAATGGACGGCCGGCCACGTGAGCCCCCCCCCCGCACTGCGCGCCGCTGCGCGTGCTTTCCCCGTGGACGAGCGCGCAGCCCGCGTCCCCGCTCCCGAGGGATCCCTTCTTCGTTATGAGCGTCAAAATTGAAATTGAAATATCTAAACACTGAAATAAGGCAAATACGCAGACTCCAGTCCAAGGAAGTGAACTCGCATGCTTCTCAAGAATTAACACAGAAACACAGCCCAGAGGGCTCGCTTGGAAACTAAGGGGAATGGATTGACTCAAAACAGGAGACCCAGGCATGTAAATCTAATCCCTTTGGTCCATCTCGCTCCTTTTTTGTTTGTAGCCAAAGGTCACAAATCCCCTCATTTCATCCAGCTGTTTCTAGCATGTTTCCACTTCCACTTGAAGCTTGTACGTCCTTGGGTCCAGACAAAAGCCGCTCATGTTGTAAAGAGGCACCTCGTGTTTTAAAGTCCTAATGTTTCTCATTTCTTCTTTCTGATCTCATTCCCATTTGTGAACATGGATCTGATACTGCCTTGGATTCTCTGTTTGGCACTACACAGGTCCTGGCCTTTAACCCCTTTGTTTCACCTTCATTTACAATTCTGGAATTATTTTGCCATCTTAAAAATACGAGGGGGCAGCACGGTGGCGCAGAGGTTAGCGCCTCCTGAAAACATTACCAGGGTACGCGTTCGTATTCTTGCGCTTTTGAATTGCCCTGTGTGTTCCTTGACTTTGCCGTAGTATCAGGTAATAATAATAATAATTTCTTACACTTATATAGCGCTTTTTCTGGACACTCCCCTCAAAGCGCTTTACAGGTAATGGGGTCTCCCCTCCACCACCACCGGTGTGCAGCATCCACCTGGATGATGCAACGACAGCTATAGTGCACCAGTACACTCACCACACATCAGCTATCAGTGGGGAGAAGCAGAGTAATGGAGCCAATTCATAGAGGGGGATTATTAGGAGGCCATGATTGGTAAGGGCCAATGGGAAATTTGGCCAGGACGCCGGGGTTACACCCCTACTCTTTTCAAGAAACGCCCTGGGATTTTTAATGACCACAGAGAGTAGGACACCTACAGGACCTTGCAGGTGATTAGTATTGTGGTCTGCACCGTCTATACTTTGTTTTTATACCGTCATTTTACTGTGCTTTACTATACACCCTTTACCTGTAGCGTGGCTCTACGAACCTTGACAGGGTACATCCCGAGACTGGGATTAAACATGAGGGGGCGGTGACGTTCACTCTCTGCTGGCAGTCTTTCCCGCGTTCATTGTGGGCGCGTCCTCGCTTTCCCTCTGCCTTTTCATGTTTAACTAGGTGTCCCAGTGAAGAGCAACAGTCATGAGACAAGCGTCCAAACATAAGCAATCACTACTTTGATCGTCAATCGGCCGGGCTTTTTCTTTTGTTCCAACAGCGCGCGGGTCTTCTTGCTTGTGAAGTAAAATCTTCAACCCGTGCGCAAATGGCGGTGGGGTGTGAGAGAGTGTGTTGCGCACTTCAGTTTTTATTTAATTATTCCCTGGCCTGATGTGATACAGACTGGGAGATCATGGAAATACTAATGTCTGTATCCTTGCAAAAAAAAAATTAAATAACCCCACCCCTAGAACTCATAACACGTTGTGTTTTTTTCCCTTATAACTGACGCCCCCAGAGCCGCTGGTCTGCAGCTGTCATAAACCACAACCACCCACTTCACTCCCCACGCTTTGCGCAAGTTTGCTTTTATTGCAGTTCAAGGTCATTTTCTGCAGTAAAAGCTGCTGTTGACAAAACTGAGAGTATGGTTGCTTAAATTGCATTACAGTACTGTGTTACTTTATTAAATTCAACATCACTTTGACTGTTTTTAGTTGTGTGCAGTCTGGCCTGAGTGGAAATAAATATCCAATTTTGGGGTCCTAGAGAGCTTTTCGATTTAGTTAAACCATAAGAAATACTCGGAAGTAAAGCTTCCCACGGGGTTTGCAGTGTAATGTTAATTGTGTGGTAATTGGTGTACTGTGGCTCTAGAGATGCGCTGTACCCTTTACTATAACACGTTCATAAATTCAAATAAAGCATACACATTTCTGGGATTTACCAAAAGACAGCGTAATAAAGTTTAATTAAGATTTATGTGGTATCATAATCGTAAACAAACACTGGCTCATGGCCAACAATTTGCGCCTTGTCGGGCTACAGTTTAAAAATGGCTGAGACAGCACAGCACGAATACCGTGCAGTATTGATTTAATTGTCGAAGCTTCTGAAAGATGTGTTTCTTAGCAGAACTGAAACAAATAACATTTGTCCGAATCTTCGTTTGGGTCATTCAATAAGTTTATTTCGTTAAGCTATTACATCATCCCAGCAGGGAGGGTACTTCTGCGCCGGCGATGTTATATTTTTCGGCTTCGTCTGACGAGAGTGGCGCCACCAACAGTTATTGTCTGCGAGAGAAGAGGAAAGAGAAACCTCAGTATCTTATATTACTGGGCGCCACGTACAAAGGTGAAGACAGAAGTTGAAATGTTCCAAATGTTATCCAAGATGTATATCCCTCAGATGTTTATGCTTTAAGGAGCTGAAGAAATTTAAATGTGAATGGCTTCTAACTCTTAAAACTCTGACTTTTTAACTTTTTTGCTCCAAGTATGGACAGCAAGAGCCCGACAATTTCATTTGCTTAACACCAGTATCAAGTAGCCAGTGGCATGATGAGTGCCACGAGCACTGGGGCCCTGAACTCTGGACCTGGGGTGCTGTCTGTGTGGAGCTTGTATGTTCTCCCCATGTTCAGGTGGGCTTCCTCCAGGTGGTCTGGTTTTATCCCATTATCCAAAGACATACTGGCAGGTTCATTGGCTTCTGGGGCGATCGGCCCTGGTGTAAGTGTGTGTGTGTTTATGTCTGTGTGTGCCCTGCGATGGACTGGCACCCCGTGCAGGGTGTATCCTGCTTTGCGCCCGTTTCAAGTTGTACCTGGCTCAGTCCATGAGGCACTGTTACACTTCCTTGAGTGGCCAAACGAGCTGTCTGACTGGCATAAGGATGCGGGCATGTGTCTGGATCTCACCAGCTGTGTCTTAAAACATGGGTCATCATCTAAAAAATAGCTATTTATTACACTCTAGTATGTAGTGTATTACTTTGAAAAATGATAGGACTGACTTAACTGGTTTATTTAGTGTATATGAACCACACCATCTCTATTTGAGTAATTATTTAAGCAATGTTTTCCAATTCAGATCCTGACTGACCCTTCCTTAACTAGACTGTTTTTTAAATTCTATCTGATCTCTCAGTTAGTTGGAAACACTGATTGTCTCATTAAGATCCTTTCAATTGCTTTCAGCTCTTAGACAGGAGGGAATACTGTAGTTCAGGTAAGTGCAGGCAAACAAGCACGACTCAGTTAGATCCAAAATCAGAAGAGACAGAGACTTGTTAGGACTGGGGTTGTGAAACACACTAACCTCCACCATTTCATCCCCCTGGATCTCCTGAATGTGGGAGAACTTTTCTGTCTGGCAGATGAGTTTACCATCCTCCATCCTGACAGTGCACTGAGAATGAGAGAGAGAAAATGGGTTTAAGTCTGGGGATTCTGAAAGAAGAGCATCACACGCTGTTGTGCAGCACTATTATTACAAGCCCAAGTCTAAGTGCAACCCCCCCCAGAGAAAAAGTGGAATTGCTTTCATATCTATAATATACATCATAATTGTCCTCGATATCACCATCACAATGTATAGAACTAAGTAGATATGGAAAATGAACGGAGAGGTAATCTTAATTTATACAGCACGATTATGCATTACCTTAAGGGACTTCACAATGAATAAAATCGACGAGAGAGGGGTACACTATTGACAGCAGTGAATTAAAGAGAATTCAAATTGCAAAGCCGTGACTGTCTTCCCAGATCTGATATGAGGTAGGAGATCTAATGGCAGCTCTGTGTTGGTATGTGCACGTGCTTGTGCTGTCAGTGGAGGGATGGATATCAGCACTGCGACATGGCTGTCTGCGTCAGGCCCTGCATGATGCATAATGGCAAGTTGTCAGATATGGGTGTGGTGTGCTGCCTGTTTTACACTTGGTATTTCATTAGAGTTTGCTATCAAACATTCTGCTTTTTTCTGTTTGGGTTGGTCATGTAATTGACATATACCGATCAATCCCTTTTCCCACTAGAGCATATTTTCACCATTTTTCAAATTTTTTAGTTCCATATTTTTTATGTCAAAATCGGAGCCAGAACCTGTCCCAGCAAGCAACAGGGTACACCTTGGATGCAACACCAGTCCTTCCCAGGCAGACAAAGATACAATCATGTAAACACTCATACCAGGGCCAATTTTCCTAGAAACGAATTAACCTACCAGCATGTGTTTGGTCTGTGGAAAGAAACCAAAGCACCTGAAGGAAACCCTTGAGAACACAAGGAGAACATGCCAACTCCATGCAGACAGCATCCCAAGGGTGGAATGCAAACCACTGCCTGCACCATCTTGCCACACTGTGCTCTTTAACAAGCCAATTTTTTACACTAAACAAATCAGAATTTTGATTGTGCTTGTGGGGAAAACATTTCTCAAGTTGTGATAGTTTATTCTTTCAGTTTCAGGGTTTTTACTGAGATTATGGGCTTAGAAATCTCACTTGCATCCCTAATGCTTCAGTGTGATGTAGTGTAAAATGCTTGAAGATGATTGTTGACCTGTTCAGCAATACATTCTGGAGGAGCATTACAAGGTACTGTAACTGCCCTAAAATTGTTTACAGTGGTTAGTCCTTTAACTAGAATTAGAACCTCATGATGCAATCCATTTGATTCTTAAGAAAGAGCAATGGCGCATGAACCAGAGGCACTTCTTGATCCAAAGGCTTGCAGGGCTCTCATACAGCTGCTCTGCTGATACTGATACCCATGGTTCTTTCAAGAAGAGACTGGATGAGATGATCCTTTCCTGACAGGAAGCATTTCTTTACACAAAGAGTTGTGGAAGTATGGAACAAGCTACCCATCCACGTTGTTGAAGCTGCTCTCTTGGAAATGAAATAGTTGGACAAGGTCCTTGAAAGATTTAGCTGGCAGCGTCTATCTTTAGCTGCTAGCAACCAAACAGTCTAAACAGGGCAATCCTTGATAAACAGTGTGATGTTATGATAAGATAGTGGTCTTTCTTCCAGGATGAACACGACCTACCTTGAGCTTCTTGCCATCCATAGTGTTGATGTCAGCCTCCTTACCGATGGTGAAGGAATTGGTTACGGATTGTCGGGGTGTTTTGGAAGTGATGACAAAGTTGTTTCCGTCTTGCTTGATTTCTGTAATAGGCTTCACATCCTTCGCCATCTTTATAACGTCTTCTGGCAGAGCTAAAGAAGAGAACTGATTAAGCCCCAGCATTGTTATATTGGCGCAAAAAGCAACACAAATCAAAACAAGAAATAAATCAAAACTACAACAAGATTTTTACATAATATACATGTACAGTGCTGAGAAAAAAGTCTGTGAGCACTCAAAATAATTATCGGAATTGTACTTCCTTACCATGATCCCTTGTTTAACTTGAACTGTTTTTCTTAAATAAGCAGAAACATTGATATTTACCAATTTGGGTTTTGAGACACACTGGTTTATGAAGTAAAATACTTAAGCCCTTTTTTATATTTACCTTTGTTAAATATTTTGTTCTGCTCAATGAGGCAAAGTCTTTTAGAAAATTTAATTTTTGTTGCCACCCTGAAAAGTTTTGTACTGGATGTTGGACAGCTTCTTTGAATAAATCCCAGGAACATTTTACCCATCGTGTTTAAGTTCAGGGCTAGATCTGAACATGTCTATTAAGGGGAAAATAAAAATATTGTTGATCCAAATTCATTTGTGACTCTTTTACTTTAGTAGTGTATTTGATAAGGAGTATTGTAGCTGTGTGGATGGACAAATGTCATATATTCCTTGTAACTCTTCCAGTCGTTGTGATTCTTGAAATTGCTTAGCTCCATTTAATTGTTTTATGAAGCAATCCTACAATCTTTTGCTCTTGGAATAAATACAATGATCGCCTAACAACAGCTTTACGTAACCAGCCTGGTGAATATTATATTAAACTGATTGTAACATTCTACATGTCAGATTTCTAATTAGGACAACCTAAACATCAATCCACTTATCGTCCAAGAGTGAAAAGCAATGTATTTCCCCTGTGACATTTACTGGCAAGATTGAAAAATTATTTCCACCTTTCAAATATCCTGTCTGACATTTAAGGGCACCACATGTACAGAGCTTGACAGCGCCTTTAACAAGCCTCCTGCTACCAAGTACCTCTTGTGGTTGTTGAAAAGGACGAGTGTTTGAACCTTTATCGAAACAAAGCTTTATCAGAATCAGACAGCTTGCTGTAGCCCAGTACTAAGATATGGTGGTACACACAATAATTAATGGAATGACTCTAAGACTGGAAAATGAAGCACTAATGCAACTGAAACTTTTCTTTTCACAAAATGCTTTTATTGCTCTTCAGGCAGTGCTCTTTCTACCTGTAGGGTGCCACTGTGTTCCTCAAAACTGTAGCACAACCAAAGTGTAGAAAATAAGGACAAATGCTGTTGGGTCTAGGAATTCTAGAGCACACAGCAGGATGGCTTGACCATTATCAGTGCTGTCTCACGGCTTTTGGGTCCTGGGTTTAAGTCTGTTCTGAGGCTCCTTCTGTGTGGAGCTTGCGTGTTCTCTCCAGGTCTCAGTGGGCCTTTTCCATGGTCTACCTCAGCTTACCTAATACTGCCTTGCAGTTCGTGTGCTACACTATATTTTATTACTTTTACAGGAATTCACTTTGGTAAATACCAGTAATATTCTCTGCACCTTTCTTTCATTTAACATAACATATAAAATATACGACATACGACATACGACATATGGCATATGACATATGACATATGACATATGACATATAGCATATAGCATATAGCATATAGCATATAGCATATAGCATATAGCATATAGCATATAACATATAACATAACATTCATGTCCCATATGGCGTTAATACATCTTCAGTTATTGTGGTGTGTTGGAGTAAAAACATTTATCCTGCTTATGTAGTAGAAAAAAGTCGCATTTGCAACAGTTTATTAACTCTGATATTATGTCTGATCGATGTGTAATATGGAGTGGAGCATGCGGTAGTGCATGTTTTCGTATTTTTTACATCTAGAAGTGTTTCAGTTTTCTACATTAGGTGTGAAATTGCAGACCCTACTGTGGTCTTTATAAAGCTTTTTTGCCCAGATTATAATTACCATTGGTAACAGAACAGTCATGCAAGCATTATAGAGTAAAATTAATTAAATTCGTCAAATGAAATGATAATAAGGTGGAATAGAGCTGGACGTGCAACACAAATACCATGCAAAGCAAAAGTATTCAATCAGTATTCAAACAGTGTGGGCACAAAACCATAAGGTAAACACCCTGTAGGCATGTACTCCTTGTGTACAGTGAATAAGTGTCACTGGCAAATTACAATACATGTGACAATTACAATAATGAATGCAACCATAGCTTCATGGGTTGTTTTAGTCCTTTAGAAAAAAAAAGAATTTGACTTAGTTCATCCATCATGTTTTCATGACAGACACCCCCTCAAGGGACAGAGAAACATGGACTTCCTCTATCAGTGTTGTCTTGTTTTAGTTGCAGGAGATATGTGCTGTATGTCTGAAAATGTGCGTTACTAGAGCAGGATCCTCTGAGTATCTGTGTTTTGCATTTTGGAAATGTTGTTTTTATCTGTGGGCGGCACAGTGGCGCAGTTGTTACCATTGCTGCCTCTCAGTGCTGCTGCCCTGGTGTCTACTCCCAGTCCCAAGACGTGCTGGTAGGGAAATTCGCTTCTGGAAAAACTGGCCCTGGTGTGGGTGTGTGCATAGCAGTGTTTGCGTCTGTCTGGCTTGTGATGGACTGGCGTCCCATCCAGGCTGTATCCTGCCTTGTGCCAGTTGCTTGCCAGGGTAAGCTCCAGCTCCCCTGCATAAAGTGCTTAGGAAATGGATAAATGGATGTTTTTATATACCAATTCCGGCTTGGTAGATTGTTAATTGTCAATTGTTATTGAGCTTGACTCAAGTAATAAGCATATTATTAGCATGAGAGGAAGAAGGGCAGCGCTTGCTTTCCCCTGAAACACTCAGGGGAAACATTAAATAAGGAACGCTGATTCCCCTGAAACACTGATGTAGGAAATTTAATGAGAGTCAGCAGACACCAGGATTACGGAGCTACGAAATAAATAACTAATAAAAACAAAATTGTGCATTATTATTATAAACCAATGCTTTTTTAGTGATTAAAAGGTACTGTAAAACAAAGAAACTTTTATATTATTTATGTATGCTAAAACCCATCACATTAATGTGCTTTACCCAAAAGCAACAGCACAATTGTTTTTGGAACAGAAATGAAGGTCATTACTGAAATGAAGTTGACTTAAAAAAAATCCCTATTTTACAGCCTTATGAAATTTCTGACCTGGTGTGTCTTCAGAGGCTAAAACCTGGCAGAAGTAAAAGAACCAGAAGATGCTCAGAGTGTACTTCTTGGGGGTTTCTTCCTCTGATAAACTGAGTTAGGTTTGCCTCGGCTGTATAAACTAGGGATTTTGTTGTCCATTGGGCTCCGGCCTCTATTCTTCCTCCTTTGATGATGACACCTTCCTGTGTTTGCAAGGAGTGTCTAAATGGCGAAAAAAAACTTGTTCTATAGGAATATTTCTTCCTAGATCTCAGCTCATTTCACCTCGCATGCAAGGTATGGTGCCTTATAAAATCAGGAGAACATAAGAACAGTTACAAAGGAGAGGAGGTCATTTGGCTCATCATCATCGGTTAGTAGTTAATTAATTCAAGGATACAATACAATCTTTTTTTGCAGGGAGCCAGTGTATCAATTTCAACAACATGGAATATATAGAGTGCAGCTCATTGCCCTAATTAACTCTGTCTTTAAACTTCAATTGAGCACGTTACCATACTTTGTTTTTATAGGGTGTCCTTACATGTCACAGACATGAAGTTTAGGTAACTTGCGAACACAACATTTCATAGCACACCCCTGATCTTTGGCTAAGATATATCTAATCACCTCACCGCCTTTTATGAATGAAGTTAGTTGCCCACACAGGAATAAAATTCCTGCTTGTATAGCTTTGTGTGAATGGAGGGTGGAAGTTGAAGATGTATTCTGTCAGGGATGATCTTAGTGACAATTGGTGAGACACAGCTGCCTAAGTTTAAGGTTTGTAATGCTGAGGAATTAGTGCATTGTGAAATAACTGGCACACTGTAGATCAAAAGCCTTCAATTATTTTACAAAGCAAAAGGAATAACATATTGTATCTGACAGCTTCTATCCAATCATGAGAGGATATTATAATTCAAAGGTTTAGCTCAATTCAAAAAGATGAGCAACATAATTCTGCAAGAATCCTCACATTTAGAAATATCCCTTCCAGTCAAGATTGCATGCTTCAGAGCATGAATAATAGAAATGCAAACTTACGTATTGATCGCAGAAACTCTTCATAGTTCTCCTGTGAGTAGACTTGCCATGTTCCATTGAAAGCCATGCTTATTGTTAGTTTTTCCCTCTGCCTCAGGAAGCTGGTAGGAGTAGCTGTGAAGCTCAAAGCAATGTACGAAGGCCCAAGACTTCTCTGATATTTATGCCCCTGTAGCCAATGAATCCCCCTTTGTCTTAATCATTAACAGCCAATGCAAGAGCTATTTTTTTGGCCGATTCTGAAGCAATTTCTAGACACCCCTATTTAAATAACCTGTCGTTCACTCACTCCACTTCTGTGTAAATGAACTCTCTGTGTAATTTCACAGCACAGTAGTAGAATCTTGCTCACCGGGAACTAATTTTCATGTAAAATGTTAGAACTGTTTAGGCTGGAATAAGTTGCGTGTTAGATCTGAGACAATTATTTTTGGAATGTTCTGTTGTTTGGTGAGGCTTTTAATTTAGAGTGGTTGCCTGGAGACAGGTGGTTCCCATGAGGCCTGTATTGGAGATTTCTCCACAACATCTTTATTGCTGCCTCGCTGTCAGATGGTTTCGGTTCTTGAATCAAGGACCTAGGCAACCTGGCTACGGATATGAGCCACGAATCTCCAGGTATGGACAAAGATAGAACAAATTGTGAATTGGCTTTCCTCTGGTTTACACTTTCAAAAAAATGACAATGAGTTTTTTTCTACTTTATTGAATGCACAATGAGCTTGACTGGGCCACTTTTAATCGTTTCACATATCTTTTAGGAGTACTTAGAGGACTTAATGGGAACAGTACAAACCAATGCCAGTGCCTGGAAATGTGATTTTTAACACTCTCCTGCAGGCTGCTCCAGTGTTAGGGAAAAGGGATCTTTTTTTTTTACTGGGTTTGTTAGGTAATTTCAGGCCTCACACAGGATTTTAATTTTAATTTTAATTTTGCAAGGTTATTTAAAAATAGAAAACAAATGCATTCAAAAGTTGAGATGCACAATTCATTTGGCAAACACGTTCATTCTAATGTAACTTTTTAAGTCACGAGATAACATTTATAGTTAGGCAATGGATTAGCCTTTCTTCTTCTTGAGGCTTGGCTTGAATCTCCAGCGCTATATCCTGCTGTAGGTAGCTGTAGCTTGAAGCCCTGTGGTAGCTGCGATTTATATCAACAGCTCAACTCAAGCTTTGCGTTTTCAGATCTTCCATATTGGATGTGATCTGTAAACTTGACAATACTAGAACCAAAAAAACCTAGACTGTTGACATAAATTAGGAATAGCAGTGACCCCAGTACAGATGAGTTCACTAATTACATCACCCCTATTTGACCATCTACCCCTTATTTGTACCCAGTGTTTCCCGTCTATTTTCAAATACTCAATCCAAGTTCTCACGCTACCTCGAATACCTACTGCCAGCAATTTGAGAATAAATAATTTATGAGGAACGTAATCAATACTGCATCATGTGCTCTGTGTTGACTCCTGCTGTGACTTGATCAGCAAACTCTAATGAGTTAGGTAAGTAATAACTACATTTTTGAAGTGCACGTTAGATTCTTATTATCATACGCCCAATACTAGTTTTATTTTATGTTTCTGTTACCTTGCATGTAGTGGAAGTAAGACTTATTTCCAATTGTTATTCCGTTGGGTGGCTCAGTGTCATCAGCCTTTTTATGAACGAATGCTACATTGGCAATCTTCCGTCCTCACAAGGCCACTGTCATTAACAAAAGCGAGAAAGAAAGAGAGCACTGCACACCTGTTTGCACTCAATACATTTATTTATTTTTTTCCCCATTGCTTTTAAAGTTCGACATTCTTGGCTCCCAGCTGGCTCCACCGGAAAAGGCGCCCACCCTGAGCACAAGTTCACTTCTATCGCTCAGGCTATGCAAATTCAAGCCTGGATCATGTCACTATGACCCCAGATTGGGCTCAGTATCATCAGGGACGGGGTTAGTCATTCACGATGGTCTTGGCTCTCACCGCATTCCCAGACACCTGACGGCCCATGATGAAGCCAGTGAGGAATTCTCTTCTCTACCCAACAGCACTGAATTGCTCCAGTCCTGGCCAGGGTGGAGAAACCAACCTTCACTTCCTGCTCTCTCCAAATAGGTACACGAGTCATCACTGTGGGCTGTGATCTAAATCGCCCCTTCCAAACTATGTGGGTATTTACTAAAAAACAAATCGTCGAATCTGCCCTTTTTTTAAAAAAAGCAAAAGCAAAACAGCTCAATGTTTTATCCACTTGCAAAATAGCCCAACACTTTTGACACAAAATCGTGTAATCGTGACGGAATGGCTGAATTCATTTTCAAAAGTGGCTGAAACATGAAACTGTCGATACTTTCCAGTTGAGAGCAAAGTTTGCTTCTTTTTTCTTTTGCAAGTTGTTACACCAAGAATGGAATCTTGGTGTGCTAATGAAATGATGTGCTAATTACATATAATGCGATAATTTAAAATACAACCAGAGTGATTGGTGGGTGTGCATTTTTAATTCTCCATCTTCCACTGGAGGCTAACTGTGGTATTGCAGGTGATAAATTGGAAAGAGAGGAAAGGTGGCAAAAATGACTCTGAGGTGACCAGAGGAGAGGTGAATGGCATCTAGGACACAGAGGCAACTGTGTACTTTTCCTATATTAAAAAAGAGATATCTTGCACAGTGACATTTCTTCACTGACTATCTTAAAAAGGGTAAACATTTTAATTTTTTAAAGTAGAATTTGTAGGTCTGATAATGCAAGCTTCATTAACATAAATGCAACTAGTGATCAGGGCTTTATGGTGACAAATGACAGTAGCAGCATAAGGTTAATCGCTCCTGTGCTGCTGTGTGATTTACGATGGAATTAACCGGCTATAATGCTGGAAACTATGCATAAATTACGCTAATAAAAGAACAAACTAGGCTCGTCTTTGTACTTAATCTAATCTGTTCTGAGTACACGGCAGCTTGCTTTATACCCTATCAATGTCATCTGCTTTTAATGACAGATAACATAGGTACAAATTGAATTTTGAACCTGGGTGCTTATCTGACCAGAAAGCTGAAAATGCTGTTAAAACAGCATGTAATTTCCAACTGAGCCTAGCACGGCAATTCTGTGCCCAGTGTCCCGATCTCACATTTGCATGTTTGTTTGAAGACTGTAAGCACGTGGCAAGACTGACTATTCTGACATATCCTTAAAAATGTTCTTAAAGGCGTTGAACTATATCTGATAATTTTTTTTCAGAAAATCAATGATTTCCCTGTAAATGTAAATGCTCACATTTCTGTAAATTCTCCAATATAATGTAAGCAAATATAATTAATTTCTCTTCTTTTGTAGTGTGATACAGTATAAATTAAAGTCTAATGACCCCTGTGTTTTGTTTCAGTGGGATGGAACATTGTGCATGAAAGCAATGGTTTCTTTTCAATGTGCAACTTCAGGATGATTGGTTAACTCGGTAGTGACAATATAATTATTTAAGTTCTAATAAAATGCTTAATTTAAAAATCAAGCAGTACAGAATGTTGCATTAGCTTTATTAGTTTCTTTTATCTCTTCCTTTGAGCTTTGAGGGATTTAATTTCAAAATGCTTTGCACATTCTGACTGAGGAAGTTGCAGACACCAAAAACAGCTGTACCCTGTGGTTGCAGATAAAACAAACCACCAGAGCAATTCATTTCCTGCAGCCTTCTTGATAACAGGGCATGGAGGGCCACGTAATTCCATGAAGATACCCGGTTTACAACAGCTAATTAATGTTCTTTTACACGGTTGCCTCAATACAATTCTAATACGTTCCTATCCAGCCTCATGCATTACCCCTGTAGATAACTCATTGTCAACTGTCATTAAAATACATTTGCACAACTACCCAGGCACATTAAACAATATTGATCCAATTAAGTCATTCAGAGCTCAGCTGAAATATCCACCAGAAGACACTGTTCAAAAGTTGCAGAAATAACTAGGCCATAAAAACGCCTCTCTTTGTATAATGTTCAGAGAGGTTGTATAAAATGTGTCACTATTTACTTCTTTAACCATGAGTAATGTAAATAAAGTTATTCTGTTACATGACTCAGGTTTTTAAAACAATCTTGTGACCTAATTCTTGTTTTTGCCTCTTTTGAAAGGTTGTTCTGTAGTGCTTTGCAGGCCTGGGCTCAGACATTTCTGTGCTAAACTACCACGTGCAAGAAACTGAAAAGCAGTAAATAGAATGAAATGATACGACTGGTTTTATGATCTTTCCGGTAGGGCGGTGCTCTACATTTCCAGAGCTCCTGCACTGGGCTTCTCTCCATACTTGTAGACGCTGACGGTGACATCCTCCGTCTGTGTCCCGTGCTTGTTTCTCACGAAGATGCTGTATTTGCCTGAATCCTCCGCCGTCACTTGGTTTATAGTGATGGAGCTGCACCCGGCCGATGTCGTGATTTTGTACTGCTCTCCCGTGACGATTTCTCTTTCGTTCTTCATCCAGAAGACCTCAGGGGTCGGATCTCCGGCCGTGAAGCAGGTGAGACACAGAGACTGTTGTGTGTGGAGGAGAAACTCACAACAGTCACAAGCACAATTCAGCACTGAATTGTTTATTAATTAATTGTTTATTAATCCATTTACTTGGATTAATGGCTTGGAGGGGAGACTAGAAACATGAATGTCTTCAAAATGTGCTATATGTAATCTCCTCTGATATGTGTGGCAAAGTACTGACAACGTTTCCTAGTTAAGCTGTTTATTTAATTTACTAGAACTTACATATTTTCTTGTGGTTCCTCACAACACATCCAAATTTACACAGTTTTTTTAGCATGCCATTTGTTTTGCACTAGCTGTTAATCCTTGGCAGACCACACAACACACTGTTTTATTTTTAAGTTTTTCAAATCCATATTGCCTACAGATATATTTGTATTCAATTCAATAGGCATAACCATATCAGCACAAGACAAAGTGGGCTCCCTGTGTAAAGTAACTCAGGCTACACCTCATCCAGCATTCTTTCACAGATTCAGGAGAAACAGATCTCAGGTGCACCTGATTTGAAGACTTTTTGGAATGTCATCTTTTACCATAATATAGACCAAACAAAATCAAAATGGTAGGAAATACTGCTACTGCACATATTAACTTTTTGCTGGCAAAAGGGAGTTTCAAAAGGTTAAGTTTTTTCCAGTCTAGAACCATGTTTCCAGATTTCTAGAAAATGGAACTTCAGTTTATCCAGTGGTTCATATGAATCCAGAAAGAAGTTCAGAAAAACACCCAGTGCTCTTTTGCGAAACCACAAGGAAAAATACAAATTGGAGAGCTCAAAGCCATTTTTTTCCTGAACAAACACAGGCCTTGTTTTTTGTGTAATCAGTTTTCCAAGATAATGCCAAGGCCTTTGAGGAACATCAGTAAATTAGCATTGTAACAAAATCAATTGAATCTTAAACCCCAAGGGTATCAGGAATTTCTCGATTAGGAACCCGAGCCATTTGTGTGAATAGGCTTTATTAAAACTATTACTTGAATTAGGTTTCTTCTTAGAAGAGGCTGATTAAAATGCCAGTCCTTGACAGCTCATTTATTTAAAATGCAGTATGAAAACAAGAGCCATATTATTAAAACACTCTTGTGTTGAGAGCCATTTTGCGACTCTGCTATTAGAAATTTGCAGAGCTGTTCCGCACTGTTACAATCTATTAAAAGCTGTTCACACCTCTTCTCTCGATTTGGCTTTCAAAGGCAATGTGTGTAAAACAGTCTTCTATTTTGTATTCAGATGATTTTTTTAAAAAAAGTGTTTTTTTTGAGAAGTGGTTAGAATGAGCCTGATCTAACAAGTTAACAATGTCCAATTTATCAATCAGCAGGGAGAAACAGGACAGGAAGTCTTCTGACTAGCATGTTTAGATTTAATTTGAAAATATTTTATTTTAAAAGAGTAATTTCTGCTAGGTTCTGCTCGGAACAAAACCCAGTTCCAATGATTGAGTAATTGCATTTCATTACTCTAATTTAATTTAGAATTAGAAAACATCACAAACCACCCACCTTATTTTCCATGATGGCCACCACGTCAGGTAACCCCTTGGTTACTCTTGCTCGGTCTGAAAGAGAAGAATTGTTTAAAAAAAACTAAAGTGGGGGTTCCTTACTCCATCTCCATACTTCATATATATATATATCAAATATTTACAAACAAGAGAAATTAATTTGGAAAATGTCTTACTCTTTTCAGCAATTGCTGCTTGTCTGTGGGGAGAGAAGCGACATTGTTCACTATAAAGTAGGTCAGGATCATCATTGTAATGAAGACTTCCATGCATCCAACCACTTTCCAACACGGGATCTCAGTAAGCAAGGGGCACATAGCAGGATACACAATGGTGGATGGAACACCAGTCCATCACAGTTCTCACAAAGACACCAACATGCACGCACTCCAAGCACAAGCAGGGTCAGCTTTCCCAGAAGCCATTGGACCCACCAGTATGTTTTTGGACTGTAGGAGGAAATCAGAGCACAGAGGAAACCCACACGAATACAGGAAGAACATGCAAACGCCATGCAGATAGCATCCCAGGAATTGAACCCGGGGCCCCAGCTCGGCAAGGCAACACAGCACCACTGTGCCACATAAAGATTTACATATAATGATACATACTGTACTTAGATGTCAATTCACATATAACATTTAGTAATCACCTTGGATATGGTGAAACTGAGACTATTATTAATACAGAGCAAAGAGTTCATAAGATCTGTAAAATAAATCTTATTTTATTGGAAATACTCTTTTCCCTTCTTACATAATATTAATTTTCTCATTGAATCTGGATACACTTCTTCTTCTTGTTAATTTTTTTTCATTATTTAATTGGTGCCTTTATCTATACTTGTGGAATAATTACTGAGAAACAGAAGACTGGTGTAGCAGTTTCACGGTGGACAGTAGGAGAAAAGAAAGAGCTCAACAGTTTGTGTGCAGCTGTAGGAAATAAATTGCCCCGGTGTGTCTAGGTGCTTGGCTACACTGTTGGACACTGGGGACAAGAGAGTGAGGAAGAGGCACTGTGTGTAGAGTGGAATCAGTTGAGACAGAGGAACTGGGGTGTTGAAGAGGGTAGAGAGTTCTCTTGAGCCAAACAAAGCAATTATAGTGTGAAATTTGTGCAGGACTTTGAACAGCTCATTACTCACTTTAGCCTCTGGTGTTCCATCAAGGCGTCTGCAAATACTTAAAGAAAAGAAAATACAAGTCTTTACTTTGCAAAAAAACAACTTTGTAATCCTGTTTTTCCTGCTGCTTAAGCTGTCCTTTGTCAGACTTAAAACTTTTAAAAACATTCCCTGCCTTCTTTCTGGAATAAGATCGCTATGGTTAGCACAATTGCTCTGTCTCAGTTTCCCCCTGCTTTCGAAGGGAAAAGTCTTTGTTTGTGAGCTCAGTTATGCAGTTCTCTACAGCTTCTGATTCTGAAGCTGACAGCTGAATCCAGCACTCAACAGATAGGCTTGGGGAAAATTACTTTTAAAACACAATCCATTTTGCTTAAATGTTACCTATTATTATTATAATTAGCAAGGAGAGAAAAAAGTCATTGGTTACAGTGATCCAAGTAGTGTGCATAGTTACTTTGTGAATTCATCCAGTACTTTACCTCTTGACAGACGTTTCCCCCATGTCTTATCAAGTAAAAATGTAGCCCCTTATAGAAGTAACTTGTAATTGTAATGGATTAGTAAGACAGTAAGACATTGTTAACAGAGCTTCTGTGGCATTGTTTTGATAAAAGATTGGCATTTTGTCGAAAACAAACTCTTGCCATGTTAGTGGGGATAAAGAAAAGCTTTGATACTCCTCTTTTACCTTGGCCAGACAAATCGAGGGTTCGTCTGTGTGGGTCTCGACCGTCAAACATTTCCAGTGTGTATTTCCCTCTGTCGGATTCCGTGGGGTTAAAGATCTCTAACCACACCTTGTTCATGCTGCTCCCAGCCTGAGTTCTTGCTTCGCTGCCCAGTTTCTTCTCTCTTAATGTAAAACACGAGGGGTATACATTAGTGTAAAGTGTCGTTCAGGTAAATGTGAGCTTGGTAGGTGAGAATAACAAACACACACCTGCTAGGGCCCCCTTTATTCTGCTGCCAAGAGCAGACGGCTCGTATTTCTGTTTGTGTTGTACAATTAAATTGCTTTCATGCATCTTTTCCAGTGAGTAGCGAATGCACAGAAATCAATTTAGGAAATTAAAGGAAAGGAAGACAAACAAAATTGAAATTAAACTATGAAATTCACCATGCAACTGTGCAATGCTGCCCCAAAGTTTAAAAAAATAAATACACAGAACCCTGTTGTGAAAACAATGTATCCCCCTGGAACAGTGGATCTGAAACAGAGTTGACCATTTTTTTCTACTTCCATGCTTGTGGTCTCTGCTGGTCTTTTCCATGACAATCTGTGACAGACTCCATTGAGAGGGCTCCTTCCAGCTTTACTGCTGGCCAATATCTCCATATTTCCATCCACAGACAGATTACATGTGTGTGTTTTACTTGAAATGTTAAGGAGGTGATGAAGCAGGACAGAACAGAGAGGTGATTCAGATGGTGATTTTGAAACAAACCCTTGTTGTACCGTAAATAATAAGATAAAAGCAGTAACGAGCGGGCATGCAATTCACCAAAGAGATTGCAATAACGCCAAGGAAACTTACTTGAAGTACCAGCTGGTTTTCATGTAGTCCAAATAGTACTTCAAAGAGCAATACAGCTTAAACCCTTCAGCAGTGGGCTGGACCTCCAGTGGGCCCGCAGACAGGGCTAAGTGAAGAGGAAAGCTCAGATGAACCCGAGAGAACATTTTAATCAGCCTCCAAATCCGCTAAAAGTGGTTTCAGATTGAAACAAAGAATTTGCCTGCTGGGTATGCAGATGGAATAACCCTGTTGCAGGAGACTGAAAATGTAGTTTCCTGAAAGGAGATTTTTCTTTTGGGTTCAGGGGTGATAGTTTACAGAGTCAAATCTGCATGCTTTTTCATAGATGTTACACAACTAATGAGATCCACAGAGCTTTCTGGACTTTCTCAAAGACCACATACTGCAGGGTATGAAGCAACATTAGTCTGTTTAGAAATGCATTGTAAATGTGAACACGTCTCATAGTGTAACGTCAGAATGATACGGTAAGGTACAGTGTTTAACACATTTTCCGCTTTTGTGTGGGGTGTGACCTAGTGCTGAGAGGCACCCAACAGACAGCAGAAATAATCTTTGTCCAAGTGTACGTTCGATAAAGAGATCGTAGACTTTCAGTAGAAATGTGGTGCAACCTGATTTGAGAGTAAAATGGTTACGTCAAGGCCTCAAAAACTTTGATTAAAAGTGATCTTTATGGATCATTAAACCATCATTCTAGCTTGAAGCTTAAGTTATCAGTGAATGTTTTACTGCTATTCTTATACAGCTTATACTCATAGTGTTATTATCTGTCAATTTAATTTAATTCCACATAGCCAAATGAAAGTGTCAGTGTGTTGAAAGTATAATTCAAGCGAATAATGAATTGTATTTAAACAGTACTTTTCATCCCAAAGAATTACAAAGCTCTGTAGGTGTAGGAGGCAGTCCATTTCTTCCACCACTGAAGTTCTGCCTCACCACCCAATAGCAGCTGTTCTGCACAGGCAGAACAGGGGGAGGAGTGACAAACTTCTTTGAATTAAGGAGAAAATGTATCTAGATTTTGCAAGTCCACAGTGGAACGTGGTCAGGACACCATAGTAAACACACACAGCTCTTCCAAACAGTGCCACAGGTCTTTAATCAAGAGCTCAGGTTAACTGCTCCTCTGCAGCACAAAACCTTGTAGAGCCCTGTGTCCCTGGTCAACACATTGGTTTTTAGAAGGAAGAGCACCACCTACTGGTCTACCAGCACCACACAGCATCAACCTGGTTTTAATTAAGGCTCCCATCCCATCAGGGCGATCAGAACCAGCCTTGTCTATTGTAATACAGCACAGAGTGAGAATCCATCACCCAACAGTGAAAAAGAATGTCTGCAACAGGTAAGTGCTTCAAAATAATAAGGAATTCTTAATGAAACTGCAAGAATAACACCTATGATATACTATGTAATAGTTCCAATGTTGATTGCACCACTGCAAATAAATATACTGACACCCTGGAATTTGAAACACTGCCATTCTTTGGTTTATTTAATTAATATCACATATTAAACTGATTTTTTTTTTCAGCATTTTTGAGCAGCAGACAAAAGTATTAGCATCTTCTGCCTGATCTCAGTTTATACACTTGGATTTGTTTTTTCCTCTGGCTCGTAAGGATGAATCGATGCTCCATAGACTGCAATAAAATGTTGTTTGTAACATGTTAAGCTAAGATGTGTTTCAAAGGCTTGTTTCAAATGCTGTTTACGAGCATAAACCCCTAACCTTAGGCCTATACCAAGCCTGAGGCTGAAACCAGCTGTAATGTACAGTGAGCCTTGTCTCTTATAACAGGGCTCATTTGAGCCCATTGAAGTGACAGTGGAATTTACTGATGTTTGGAGGAGGCACTCTGTGACTCAGGGGCTGGAATGTTAAAATGGACACGCTGCCCTGGTCCACTTTGGCCAACATCAGAACTAGGAAGAACTGCATCACCCATGCCTATTCCCTCCATCAGCACAGGGATTTTCGGCTGTGTTTAAACTGTGAGCGCTAACAGAAACTGTCAAGCTTCTCTGCAGCACTTACCGCATTGCCTGCACAGCTCCTGCTGCAGCTTTTCAAATTCTAGAATGAGAAATAAATGTTGATTCTCACATCTCATTGTGGATCAGTGACGGCGATCCTATGCGCAAGAGCCATTGCAACACTCTCTGCAGCTGGAAAGATGCTTCTCTCAGAGAATTGAGAACAACAACATGTAGGAGAGATTACAAATGAGCAAAGGCCATTTGGTCTTTTTTGGTTGCTAGTAGCTAACAGCTTCAAAAATATGTCTGTGTGGCATGGCCCATACCCCCACAACCCTTTGTGCAAAGTGTTTTCCATACTTTCCATGAAACATGATGGCACTTGTGCAGGGCCCATACAGATCAAGAGCAATCCTGACTTGCACACAATGCAAAAGGAACAAAACACCAAGCACAAAATGTGAAGTCATAAACACAACTGCACCTCTCAGCTTCTTGGAGATCTCGATGCACAATGATCAGGCAGAGGGCCGACATTTATATATTGCATACAAAGGCGCTCATTTTAACAAGGCATTTCCCCTAAAGGTACAATACTGTACATTTAACTTTTTAAATGGCTGAAGTACCTTTAGATTGAGTCATTTCAGTTCAGATTTTAAATCTTTGATTTCATTTTAATTACGAGGAAGGCCTTTAACCTATGGAGGTTCATGGGACGTCAGTCCTGGAAGAACAGGGCACAAGGTAGAACTGAAATCACATGACTGCTGGCCCCCTTGGACAGGATACTTATCCATAGCAGCACAGCAGAGAATGCAGGGACACGTTAGAGTATCCTATCAAATCTAACCCATGTGTGTTTAGGTGGTGGGAAGAAAACATACCTGGAGAAAACACAGACAGACACAAGTTTGAGGCTGGAATCGAACCCTGGAATCTGCAGTTGCTGGGGGGGGGGGAGGCAGGCATACTAAAGCCCATGCCACCAAGTGCAGGATTTTTCTGGATTTACTTAACAAAATATCTGCTCGATAGAAGGATGTCATCAGCCACTGCACACCTTTCCTTACTGGGCCCCACTGCAGACTCTGTCTTACTGACATCCAGCTTCATAGAGAGCTGCTTTTCCATCTCAAAGTCATCGAACCTCTCTATATGCAATTCACTGCTCCTCATTCTCTTCCCTTGACAGCTGACGCAGAGCCAGTAGTTCATCTCTATTACACAAGGCCACTTGTGACAATTGTGTCGATATGGAAGGAAGAGTTCTGTTTCTACAGGGTACAGGGTTGTTGTGTGTGTTTTTGCGCTCAATTCACCTACGTAAATCCAGTGATCCTGGAAGAAAATTTTCTAAAAAAGAATCAAACCTGCAATATCTGCATTCTGCGGGTGACAGTGAGTGTAAGACTGCCGTTGCACAGTAGGCTGAGCCATTTAAAATACCACATTAGATACACCCTAACAGTTAGAAATTTCTTTAAGGAATCCTGAACACTAACCTTACACCAAAGATCATACAGTGCACTGCACTTTTACCTTTTGTAACTTTCAAAGTATTTCTTGCCAAAAGAAAAGGAATAATGGATAATTTCTTGTTGGCGTCATATAAATGATAATTTTTCTTTTGATAGCTTGAAGAACAAGGAGACCTCATTCAAGTATTAAAAACCTTAAAGGCTTTGATAAAACTCAGCCCAGGTAACTTCTTAAGAATAAATCATGAAATTTAAAACTAAAGGCAGAATTGTTTTTCTGAAAGGGTTGTAGGAGTGTGGAACAAGCTATCCAAGTAAATTACTGAAGTTGATCTCTGGACTTCTTTCAAAAATTAGCCAGATAAAATCCTCAGATCACTTAATGACCAACTACCAAAGCAGCTGTATGGACTGAATGAGTGAGTACAGGTGTTATTTGTAGAAGGTGTCTTCAAATAACTCTTGGCGACTGTCTTACCTTGATCTACTAAATCAACAGTACTGATGTCCTCCCCTCGGTCATCAGACAGCACTGCTTTGTACACACCTATGTCCTTAATAGTCACCTGTCAGGACAGAAATGATGGAGCAGAGAAGTGAGCGTGTGCTTATGAAAGAGACACAGGAAGACAAAAAGAAGCATTATTGTTTTAGTACATTTAATATTCTCATCGTGGCATTTCACAAACATATAGACCTATATACATATAAACACTAAATACACACCCATTAACAGTAGGTAAACTCAGGGGCTCATAGGAAATGTGTGGTTGGGTTTCAGGAGCAGAGAAGAAACAGTTTTGACCAACTTCCCTGGCTGTTCCAGCTCCATGGATAACTGGTGGAAGATCTGTTGAGTCTTTCCTGACAACCTCAACTACAGTATAAGAACCCCCACTGAGACAGTGAAATACAAGACCTGTTTCTAAACTTTATGGATTATATACCTGTTCAACAGGTGCAGCTCTTCCATAGTGTGATTATGGCCACTCGTGGGTTCTGAGTCATGCAATGACACTCCCCAGCCAGTGGCAAAATCTGCTACCCAACAAGGCCAGGTCTTCTGCTGTGGAATACTTTTACACAGCCCAGGTTTCAAGGGTCATGATGCCACTTCTGTAGCAGGTTTAGAGCCACAGGTCCTGCTACTCAAATGGATTCACTGGGGGTTCTTCATGCGTATGTCAGTAAATATCAGTTGTGTCTGAATCTATTCAGTTGAAATGTATTATTTTCAATGTGACCACCCATTTTTATATTGGAATAATGGGATGGAAGTAAGAACCTATTGCAAAAATATAGGGATGTTCCAGATTATACAAAAATAATCACTAGAAATACCAAATGATACTAAGCAGACCAAGAGGAATTTGAATGTGAAAACCTCTCCCTATATTTTTCTCCACATCTGGGAAAAGAGTCCTTTGATCCTCAGCTTCGCATTTGCATTATTGAGTAAATGCTGCCACTTAATGTACATTGATATCCTTTTGCATTTCAGAAAAATTAGGAACAAATGATCCTTTCTGTGTGATCACCTAGGCAGGTGGACTAGTTTTGCTGTGGGGCCTGATTAATTCTGTACAGATGGGGTGGTGGTGGGGATATTTATGTCTGAGTTTTTAAAAAGACCTCTTTAAAACAGCAGCTGGTATTGTGTGCAGTCCATCAGTCTGGATGAGTGACTGCGAATTTGAGTCTTAATGTCAAGGCTATTTATACACTCACTGAGAAATGAGACATTCCTGTGCATTCTGTCTATATTGACAGTCTATAGTGAGGAAACACACCCCTGTGTTTAATTAAAGACCAACACATAAATATGCATATTATGATATTATGCAAAGTCACTTGGAAATATTTTATCATTCCATGTTTTGGTTATTTACCTCTTAAGGGTATGCCTTTTTAAACTTACAATGCTTAAATTATCAGCACTGGCGTAAACATGAGAATTTACCAAAGGGGATAAACTCTCTGCGTAACTATCTTTTTTTATATGCAAGACTCATACAGTTTTCTTTACCTCTAAAGTTGAAAGCAACTTCAGACAGAATTAACCATGACTTATTAGTACAAAAAAAAAGATTTGTCTTAGGAAAAACCTGTCTTTTGAGCTGGTATCCCTTGAATAACTGCTTTGAGCTAACTATAGGTTTTGAAAAAGAACACACTATTCTTTCAGTGTTCTCTCAGGCAGCTGGTTGTAGTGCACCTGTGTGGTTAGTGGACAGTGTGTTTACAGTAGTTGGTCATTGGTGGCACTATTCCTGCGTTCTGTAACTTTACCTGTGGGATCGTTAAGGTGCAGATCCCCGTTTGTGGATTATATTCAATTTGAGGAATCTCGGTTCCATCCTTGTACCACTTCAGACTTGTGTCCTTCTTTGTGTTGGTGACCTGTGTGGAAAGAGACTCCGATAGCTAATCATAGAATAGCACAGAATCAACAACTAATCACAAAACAGAACAGAATCAACAGCTCACAGAATAGCACACTGAAAAGAAAAGACCCTTCGAGCAAATGAATATAAAGTACCAAAATACTTTTTTTGAGGTAGGAGTTTGTTTCTGTTGGAACAATGGAGTATCAGTGGCTATTCTACGGGGATATTTAAGTTGCAAGTCAAGTACAGTAAAAAAGAACTTTTGGCAATCTTAAACAAAGAATTAAAGGAACTAAAACTCAGTACAGCTGTCCAAATATTTTCTACCAATTTACTATTTTTGTTCCTTGGAAGAGTGCACTGAAAAGGTTGAGAAATTTGAGTACCTTGCACGAGAAGTGAAGATCACAGTTTTCTGTCACTTTCCAAGACAAGAACTCCAGAAAATATGGCCCTTAAAAATAAAGAGAGAGGGGCAGGTGAACGACACTACATCGAGATCTAATAATTCACCAAGGTTACAGAAAATATACATTTGATTTTTCAATAAACCACACATTTAAAATGGAATGTTCCTTTACGTACTGTACGTCCCCCAGTGCCACAGTACACTCTTTAGCCATTCCAATCAGAATCAGTGTTGCTGACCTCTGAGGAGCTGTGTAACAACCACTGTGTCTGAAAGAGCTCCAGGGAGCCCACAGGTCAGGGCTGTGTATCAGAGCATCAGGACTGTATTGTTAAGACTAGGCAGGTTCAGTAAGACAACTCTCCAACTTGCCCTGCAGGTGTGAGTCATCGAGGGGTTTTCCAGTGAACTACACAATGGCACCAGAAAAACCAAAGATTAAATTAGGTGAGACTTTGGCCATTGTCAGTTTAATGTTTACTATTATTTATTTCAATTTCTTTGTCTAATGAACAATAAAGACTCCCAGGAAACTTCAGCCAGATTAGCAGGTTTCCTCCAGTGTCCAGGGATGGGTTTGAATATGGGCTGTGCTTCGTCAATTCACAAGAGCCCATAACCATGGAAGAGTATTAAAATGTTATGCAATGTGTTCCTTGCTTGTGTGGCCTGCTTCTTTCTGAATTTTTCTAAACAGCTTTTTCTAACACATCGTTTAAACTTGCAAGAAAGTGTTTTCCCTTAAGTGCTCCTATACTGTATACTGTAACATTTTCATCATATGGCTTAAATGCAGTGTATTGGATCTCACTCATTGCAGCTGTGCTGATATCTATCACATCTGGCCAGACTTCTGACAAACAGGTCCTTGGCAGTGTTTTCAGTTTTTCCTCTAGTGTTGGCTCTTATTAAACACGCTCTCTGACTGTTGATGGTAAATGTTCTGCCAGGGTAAATGTTCATGGTATTTTTGTAGTTTTACCACATTTTATGTTTGATCTGCCATGGTTTCATTGTGCTTTCACAATGGTCTGCCACACTCACAAGTAAGGGCAGGGTGACATTCTGCAACCTCTTCATCGCACTGTGCTCACTTCTTCAGCACTTGACTTCGCTTTCTAAATCCCTCTGCCTCACTTACAGTCCATCCACTGGCAAAAGCCAGCTGGATTAACAGTTCAGTTGCTATGGAGCTGCTATCTTAACTAGATTCACATCATTAACTTAAAACTGTTTCAAAGATATTTTACCATCAATTAAGCACGGTGAAGTACTAATTAAAATACATACAGTACAAATTTTAAGACCCCTCTGGGGAAATGCTTAAAATGTATTAATCACATATTTAGAGGCTTTCTTCCTTAAAAAGCATTTCAGGGTGTGATTAATCCATGGTGTGAATTAATGCTTAGATATTTAATGCTCAATTTACAGACTTTATTCTGATCCCTTGTTTGGTGTTACTCCAGACACTCCAATGGTAACTAGCAGCAAATACCATGGGAGGCATTTCAAGGGCAGCAACAAGATACAGCATGGAAAAGTCTCGAGGACTTTGCCCTGCTTGAGGTCTGTCAATACACCACAGGCCTCCGCCAGTACTGCAGGTTTGAACAACCTTGGGGTCACTCACCACACTTTCTCTTCCAGTCTCTCCTTTTGCTCTGTGCCTGAGCCAAAGTCTGCCTGAACTCTGTGGAAGAAACTTTCCGTTAATCTCTCACTACAAGGACACCATTCAGGGGTGCATCTCAGAAGACTGTCCACTCCACTGCACATAGAGCTGAATGTGTTGGTTTAATTATCTGAGTTTGTAGAGACAAATTGCAGTTCATTTCTAGACTCCAAAATAGCTTCTTCCCCAGAGCTGTCAAGTTGGTGACGCCCCCACTCCCTCCCACCATATTATGATCTCTCCTAACGTCTTCCTGTACCCACAATGACTGTACTCCTGCACCACTACACACACATGTAAGCCGAAATTGTACTGTCCCCTCGATAGCCAGTAAAACTGTACCAGTCATAAAAATATTTAATATTTATTAATTAACCATAGTATTTTTAACCGTACTATTTTTAACCATTTTTAAAATGCACTGTTTTTGCACTGTTCCAAGAATTACCTTGCACTGTTTTTGTCCTGTTATATTTTCTCTGTTAGCGGAATTTTGCACAGTTTTGATCACTTGATTACATGTTATTTATGTTATGTTATTACATGTTACTGTTATTGCTATTGTGTTACTGTCTATTGTCTTATCTTTTGTCCTTTTTATATACTGCACCTGAGTGACTAATGAGAAACACTTTTCATTATACTATGCACCTGTGTGCATAGTATAAAGTTTAATGACAAAGTTGAATTAATTAATTAATGCTGTAGTCAGTACATGGCCTTAAAAAAAGCATGAATGTTTTCTGGTTGCACATTTCATGTGATTTCATGTGACCTTTGAGACTACTAAGGAAAGCAAAGCAGTGACACAGAGGTGCAGTGGTTAGCATTGGTTTCTTGTGGTGCCCGGGCCCTAGATTTCATTCCTGGGGTGCTATCTGTGTGGAGTTTGTATGTTCTCCCTGGATTTGTGTGGGTTTCCTCAAGGTGCTCCAGTTTCCTCCCACTGTGAGTGTGTGTCTGTGTTTGTGTGTGAATATACTGCCTTACACCTGTTGCCTTCTGGGATAAGCTCTGGCTCCCCTGCGAACATGTATTGGATAGTTTGGCTAGAAAATGGAGGGAAGTTAAGAAATATAAACCAAAAATCTTTTCTACTGCAACTGCTAGTTTTAGGTGAATGCCGAAGCCTTACTCGCTGTGGGTCCCAGAATGTAAAACAAGTTATGCTTACTATCATCCACGAGCACCAAGGTGAACTGATTCTTTGCGCGTCCATCTTTCAGCTGGGCGGTGTAAGACCCCTCATTAGCATCAGAAAATGGGTCAATCAATATCTCCACCAGTCCCTTGGCTCTATCGAAATTGATCTTGCGAGTCTGTAAAAAGATTTGGTGCAAGCACAGTCACAGATACCAGAGCTCAGCAGTGCTTGGTCTTGAGCTACAGCCATTATTCGAACAGATCTGGGAACCAGGCCAACACTGGAGTAACTGCTTTGTCTGAATATAAGGGTATATGGCCAGCAGCAACTCACAACTGGCAACCCACTGAAGCTAAGCAGGTGTGAGCCTGGTCAGTACCTGGATGGGAGACCTCCTGGGCAAAACTAAAGTTGCTGCTGGAAGAGGTGTTAGTGGGGCCAGGGGTGCTTGCCCTGTTCTTGAAAAGAGTAGGGGTGTAACCCTGGCGTCCTGGCCAAATTTCCCATTGGCCCTCATCAATCATGGCCTCCTAATAATCCCCATCTATGAATTGGCTTTATTACTCTGCTCTGCTCCCCACTGATAGCTGGTGCGTGGTGAGCGTTCTGGCGCACTATGGCTGCCGTCGCATCATCCAGGAGGATGCTGCACATTGGTGGTGGTGGAGGGGAGTCCCCATTACCTGTAAAGCGCTTTGAGTGGAGTGTCCAGAAAAGCGCTATATAAGTGTAAGCAATTATTATATATATATAAAAAAGCACAACTGTGACACAATACCCTGCCCAAAATGGAGCACACACAAACACTGGTAAAAATCTGGCAACAATTGTGCTTTTAAGAGAACTAATAAGTTCTTATGCTAAAGCACTGCACATAATTAAAATGTTAACTTAGCTTTTAAGAGAAACATAAATATTTATATTATGTTATATTCTGTATGCCACTAGCACTACAAATTTAAGAACCTATCATTATAGCAATTAAAAACCAAATGGATGGTCTACTGTAAAAGGACACTAAGTTACAAAGAGTGGAGTTTGTTCAGTGCTGAATGGCATAAGTACAGACAGACGTATTGAAGAAATTCCAATGCAATGAGCCATTTTCTTTTCATTACCTACTGCTTTCCAGAATCAATATCATATGCCATCTGCCGAACAGAAAAGTAATTCTTTGTGTCTTGAATCAGCAGGGGTGAGACTAACAGCAAGGATGTTGGGTTAGAGCCACACACAGGGCCACTGTGACTTCGAGACACGTGGCTCACCCCTCTCCCTGCCAGAAGGCAGGACTTCCACTGCCTGGGTGCCATCTGGTACTGACACGGCTGTCACCTGGGGGCACTTGCAGCTACAATCTCACATAACACACGAGCCACAGCCAGCCTTGTACTTTGAACTGAGACAGAGCCTGCAGATCTCATGAATAAAACAGCTCTGCAGCAGGTAATTAGACAACCAGGAGATCCATCTCTTTCTCAAATGTTTCAGGGAATGTTTGTATGCTGCTCACTTTGCAAAGCTCCTTTGCAGATTTTTTTTCTTGTATGGCAAAATTTACCTCTTGTAACGAAATGTACAGTACCTCTGTCTCAGTTACGAGGATGGTCTCCCACAATGAGCTATAGAGGAATCATTGTCTGTATTTCCAGGCTGGGTCATTCAGTTCCTTTGTTTTCATTGCCCTGCTGGTTACCTTTGTAACACTTCCTCCTGTCCTGTGTTATCTTGGTTGACTATGCCCCTGCGGTTAGACAGACTGTAACAGTCGTGTCTTCTGATGAAGCACAGACTCACCGGACTGCTGGTAATCTCCTGATCATTGAAGATCAGTCTGAGCTCTGCGGCAGGGCTTAGCTTTTCGACTTGCAACCAGAGGCGGACATCTCCCTTTTCGAAGACCTCGACTTCCCAGCCCGATACCAGACCAATCACTGCAGAATACAGGAAACAGCTTGCGTCGGACGCCCAGTTTTCTCCACTGCAGTCCATATGCTGACTACATTTACAAAGCTGGGAAAAATCAGTCTTGTGTGTCTTTCCAGGAGGCTACTTTAAGATTAAATTATTTTGCATTGATTAAGATTAATACTAACATCAGGAGTTGGTCTATAACTTCTTCCAAAAAAAAGCCTGGAAGACTATGGCCTGATCAGGGAAGAATGCCTTAGGCACATGGCCCTGTGTCTCTTGCAGTTTACTGAAACTGAAATTAATGAGCTCAAGCAGATAAACCATGCTGGAGTGCTCTATGATAAATTCCATAAATATGCAAGACAGACAAAAGCAAAATTCCCAAGTGTCGCCTCCTCGGATCCTGTTATGGATTAACTATGACAGTTCATAAGCCTAATGTGCGTCTACAGGCTAGAAGTAGTATGTGATGCTTAGAAATGCCAAGCTAGACCTGTCGGTTTTAATCAATGTCTGTTGAAGTCTGCATAGGGGATTCTTGGTTGTTTGTTAAAACGACAAGGCCAAGACAAACCTCATTTCACTCTGCGTGAACTATATTTTCATTTGTTAGAGCCCAGCTTAGGATTCAGCTCCGAAAGCAACAGACAGAAGGGGGAATGTAGTGCTGGCTTACAATTGCTCAGACATCGCGCTCGGCCGTCTCCAAAGATTAATGGCACCTGGGACTTTGCAAAGCTCTTGGGAGGCCCAGGAGATTCTTAAATCCATTGGTTGAAAGTCTTGTTGGATGTGCCAGAATTAAAAGTGACATTTTTAGCATGCTTCCAACTGAGAAACCTGATTTAGTGGTGCAAACCATCACCTGCTTCATATTTAGAATATACAATATGCTAAGTTCTTAGACTTTCACATGAAGTATAGATACCTTTGGAACGTTTCTGATACATATTTGAAACAAACATCAGAAATGCTTTCTTTGTGCTTTGGTAAACATTTACTTATATGGTTTAAACTCCATATAAGGTGCAGCACTTTTCCAGAATAGTTTAAGTTAAAAAAAAAATATTTCTAATCCTACATCTATTCACTCCAGTGCTGGAATCTTAATACACTGACTAGCAGACAGTAGCAATGCTTTGAGAAGGATCAGGCAGTCAAATCCTAGCATGAGACCAAACACCTCTGGGTTCTGTCCTTTAAGTAGAAAAGCTCAAAACTCACTTACACGGGTTCCTTACTTGCCAGCTAAGTTTCAAAAGTCTCTCCAAGTCTGGGGGGAGAAGGAAAAGACAGATCATACCATGTACACTGCTGGTACCCTTTACCAGTAGTGTCCCGATAACTGTGCTGTACCCGACTAAGGGATAACAGCTGTTACCTTTTTCTGTAAAAGCGTAGCTGGAAGAGATGTCATTGATATCACTTATTTCCACTGTGTACAAACCCAGGTCCTTCTCGGATGGATTGGTGAAAATGAGTCTGGATCTGAGGCAAACAAATAAACTGATTAACTGATATGTCATGCTCACAAACCTTAGGAACCACAGAATTACAATTCTGACTCTCAGTCCGGCTTCTAGATGCCAATTAACTAAATCTTTAATCTGACACCTCCTCTTCGGAGAGTTTACACAACTGAACCCTTAATTGACTTAATAATAGGATTAATTTGAACCTTTTGACTATTTTCAACTTTCAAACATTTTGGAAGGTGCCTTTTAACTATAGTATTTCATAAGCTAAATAAAATCCCAAAGTTTTGAATAGGAAAAAACCTCAAACAAACATTCAAATCAAGCAAGCTCAGGTAATTAGGCTCTGCTGGAATGAAAACCAGCAGGTGTGTGGGCCTGCTGCACCAGGAATGGGAACCCCTGCTTTCATACACTTCACAATGCTTCTACCATGGTATTGTATACTGCAGCTAGGTTTTCTAAAGGTCCTGCGGTTTCAAGAGCTCCAAACTGAATAAACTTTGATTAAGGACACTGATAGTTGAGTTAGCTTCAACCTTCGTCATTTCAAGGACCGAGAACTCAGCTACTGTTAACAATGCTGCTGTTTTTAAATAAAAAATTAAAATACTTTGGTCCTCCAGGAGAAGAAACGGACTGAACTGCTCTGAAGTCATCACTGTAACAAGCCCCATGTTAAGTGCGTTCAGGCTGGGTACTCTGGAGCACAAGGCTTCTCATATGCTTATAGAATATGAGTTCCAGATTCTGCAAATGAGCATGAGACCCCATCCCAAAAAATGCTCAACCCTGATTGCAGTGTGAATAATTTGTTGTTTTAGCACCACCCTGGTGCACTTCTACTTGTTACCAGCAGAGGCCGCTCTAGCTGTCCTTTCTGTACACGTCTTCCACAATGACTTGTGGAAGAAGGGATGCCTTCTTTCACTTCAAGATCAGATATATCCCTGGCTCTGGGTTTTGAGTGGCACTCAGCCCTTTGTTGGTTTCCAGCTATACTTCATGACTTTTCACCAACAATATATTATATAAAGTAATGAGCTTGGGCTTGAGTCTAAGGACATCTGTCCATTCCTTTTGTAACCCCTCCTTTATCCAATTCAGGGTCACAGGGGAGCCAGAGTCTATTCCGGCAAGCAATGGGCACAAAGCAGGATACTGTAAATCTTAGATGGGATGTCAGTCAAATGCAAAGACACACACTCACACCAGGGCCAATTTTCCCAGAAGCCAATAAACCTGCCAGTATGATTTTGGACTATAGTACTAAACTGGGGCACTCAGAGGAAAATCATGCGAACACAGGGAGAACATGCAAACTCCACATATATAGCACCCCAGGAATTGAACCCAGGGCACCAGTGCTGCAAGTCAGCAATGCTAACCACTGGGACACAGTGCTGCCCAAGGAGAACACGTGAAGCAAAAAAATAAGCCCAGTATCAAATTATCAGAAACCAGGTATCATTTCCTCTGAAGCAGAAAACCAGTCTCTTTGTTTCTTTGTGCTGTCTCAGGTTTTTTTTTAACTTAAAGTAAGAAGCAAACATTTTGGTATCAAAGCTGCCTCTAAATCTAAAAAAAGTTACCTGTGGTGTGTACCTAACAATTGATCTGTCATTAAACAAAAGTTATTTAGTAGATTAAGTCGTTCTCACCTGTTATGTTTGGATTCGATTTTGACTCTTCCAGCATCTATTGCATCACGGTAATTCTTTGCCCAGATGAACTGGCTTGAGTCATTCATCTCTGGCGACTCAAATGCCAAGAATATGAATCCATCCTCATCAACACCAATTTCAATATCTTTCACTCCTGATGAGAAACAAAAACACTCGTGAAGCTGCCAGAAGTAAAGAAGAAGATCCTGTTTTGTGGAGTTTTTCCTGTCAGTATTCAGCTGACTTTGCGCAATTTTATTAATGGTTTAGACAACAGTAATTTATTCATCCATCCACTTTCTAACCACTTCTTCCAAATCAGGGTCTCAGTGGAGCTGGAGCCTATTCCGGCAAACAATTGGCGCAAGGCAGGATACGCCCTGGATGGGATGCCAGTCCATTGCTCGGCACACATAGACACAGACACAAACACACTCACACCAGAGTCAATTTTCTGAGAGGCCAATCATGCTACCAGCATGTCCTTGAACTGTGGGAAGAAACCGGAGCACCCAGAGGGAACCCATGTGAACATGAGGAGAACATGCAAACTTCATGCAGACAGCCCCTCAGGTCTAGAATTGAACTCGGGGTCCCTGCGTTGCGAGACAACAAAGCTAACTATGCTACCGTATTGCCTGTAATATTTTCATTTGTCATTTTAAAATTAGTACCTTTAATACCGTAAGAATACTGCACAATTTCCTTTTATGACAAAATCGGAAAAGTAATTACCAGGTTCCAGAAAAAATGCATACGGAGTTTTGCTTCCATATCCAATGACTCTACTCATCAACACCAGAGGTGCGGATGGATATTTCTAGTCAGGATAGTTATAGGTTTGTCCATGGTTCTTAAATTGTATCCATATGTAGCGCACAAGCAATCAGGATCTTTCATTTATGTCATTGTGGGGTGACTTCTGTTTTTTTCCCCCATCGGATCATATTATGTTTTGACCTACTATATATACTGTAAGTCAAACTATTAGGAAGGCGGTTGTTTTCAGAAACTGACAAAAAGTGAATATCACTTCTGTCAGGTGATGGAAAAATGTATAAGTTTATGCACCCAATCCACATTTTCTGCACTTTAAAAGACACAGACTCTCACAGTGATTGTTGTATGCACTGCTTATAGATTTTAGTCTGTTTTTTTGACCCGGCAGTGGAAATCTCTCCACAAAAATGTACTTGTGCCAGATGTTTCCAGATCCTGGCACAAGATTTTTAATTACATTCGTCAGCACAGCAACACTGGTTAGAATAATTTGACATTTTTTTCTTCTAGACACAGAAATTACGGTATTGGCAAGATCTCTTTATCTTGCTGAAGCACATTGTCTTCACAGATACACTTACGGTTCTCATTTCTGATCATACCCTGGCTCTGTACTTTGATTCGGTTCCAGGAATAACTAAACATAGCTATTATAATGATCTTCTTCGTCCCTCTTCATGCATCGCTTTGAGGATTTATCAAGATTAGTTACATATTATAATACTGAAATCAATCCAGGCATTCTTTATGGGAGAAAACTAAATTCTTTATTAGAAACATTGCTTTAGAGTCTACCATGAACAAAAAGTGAGATTGGATTTATCAGCTGAAAACTACAATTCTGCAGAGTGTGGCTGGACATCTGCCACTATAGAAACATTTTTTTAATTAACAGAGAATCCCTGACACATGACAAAGCAGCTCCACTACAAAGATGCTGAGCATCCTGTTAGTTTATTTACACTCAGTCTAAAACAAAATAAGTGACTGGATTCTATTGAGGAGATCAAGGACAATAATGATGCTGTATTCATTAACTCAGAACAGATTGGTAAAATTATCGAAACCTTTTCTCACTTTACTACATTTCTCAAATCAGCACAGACCTGGCCAGAAACAAGACATTCTTAAATCCACTAATAATTTCCCTGGATATCGCTAAACAGGTTGATCCTTTTTGGAAGCTCCTATTGCTTTGTAGAGTTTTACCTAGCTTGGTGAATCACATCGGCTCTTTAAAAAGCAACAAAATGACAATTCTCTATTGTAAATTGGGACTTTTGGAAAAAATGCTTCTTCTTAAATCTAAACTTAAAGTTGAAGACCCATACTTACAGGCTGTTATCAATGTTCAACACAGACATTAAACTATTTGCTAAGACTCTACTTACTATGTTACATTGTAGCAAAATGCAAAATTATGCAACAGAACTGACACCTTGAAGAGTTGAATTACGTCTGACAAGATTCAGCATTTTGGGTCACCCTTTATTCTTAAAATAAAATTAATTTTTAGAGGTATTTTCATGGGCATGAAATGGGGCTCAATGGAAACAAGAAGAAAACACGGTCTTGAAGACCCTAAATCTTCTTGAGACTATCACTACAGAAGTCTCTAGATATGTGATGACCACATCAGGCACTGACATTCCTGATACAGTTACACTTTCAAAAGTATTTGCAGTGGCTGCTGTAAATAAATACAATACTCTTTGGAATGAATGGCACAGCCATCCTAGAATATTTAAGAACTGCTGCTCGGGGTTGTTAGTACAATATGAGAACAATGGCAGGCCCTTTCAGAGGGAGCTGCTGTTCTCCTCCACCTGTCCTTCGAGACTGCGCAGCTCCTGATCCTCAGCCACAGCTCGCCCTACCAGACGAGCACTGTACTTGCCTGGCTTGATTTCCGCTCTGATCTCCTCAGACGGCAGAGAGGGCTGGCCGACCCCTGCCGAGTTCACCGCTGACACGCGGAACTTGTAGATCCGACCAGCGTCAAGTCCAGACACCTGCAAGAGAGGTCAAAGCTAGCGGATCCAGTTCATGTGAAAGATCCTATGACTGTTACAACTTAAAAATGAGGTCCTCGAAAACTGTTTTACTGTTTTGTACACTCACAGATGGCCAAGGTTTCTTCAAGGCCTCTTAAGTGGAGGTGTAACTCATGTATCCTATGCGTGGTTTAGCAACAAGAAAGGGAATAGCTTTTTAGCTGATTAGGGTGACCTAACCGCCAACTTTCTGTTTTTGTTTACATCGTATATGGTAAGAAACTGCTACTGACGAATCATAAATGTATGTTTTTGTATGAAAATTTTGCTCATCTTCAAGAATAAAAGCCCGTTGCTATTGTTGGGAAAGTGAGTGAAAGACGAGTGTGGCCTATTAACTTTGTCTGTCCTCCTTTCTTTATTACAATAAAGAAATCTCCAGCTTGAATTACCAGACTCGTGTGGTTTACTGAGAAAAGAGTTTAACATCTGGGATAAATTTCAAAAACATTTTGCTCCAGCGTAAGATCAATTCCATCCTTTTCAAACTCCAAATGAGCCCACAGCTAACATTCCAAAATTCTTGCATAATATGGAGAAAAAAAAATCTATCCAGTTATCTAATGTACCTACCTGCCTTTGCTCCTTGATAGATTGTGGGCCATTTTAAACATTTACAGTTGTGGACAAATGGAAGCCAATTTTGTTATGCAGGTAAAACTGTTTGAAGGAAAAATGCTCCTTCAAAACAGCAAACAGTGGTATCCAGCTTTAAATGAGTGAAAAGATGAGGAATGCTGTATTATTTTTAGGAAATTATAGGTAGACTACCATCGCTTCAAGTGTCTACTACAACTGTGGGATATATAGCAGTCACATGTCCAGAAAATAATAACAAGACTAAACAGGATCTGCTGCAATGAACTAAATGAATCCCTAAATGCTTTTCACACAGAAAATGATCCATGGATGGAACAGTTCATTAAGACAGAAGCAAAAATGCAAGTCTCTTTCTAAAGCTTTGCTTGGCGCCAGAAAAGAACAGTGAGTTTGAAGAAATCAGTGAGCATCATTGGGCCAAACGGCCCGTTCTGGTCATTTGTGTTTCCAATGATTTTATGTTTGTAAGGTGAGGTGTGATTGCTTTGAAAATCCTTTCCCTTTGATCTTTTACTGACCTTTAAATAGGTCCCTACAGTGGGCTTTTCCACTACCGCTTTCCAGTCCTCCGCCTCCGGCTCTCTCCCCTCGCACATCTCCACCATGTACCCTGTGATGGGACTGTGACCTCCGTACAATGGCTTCTCCCACAGGAGCACCAGGGAATCCCTCCGGACCTCCCTGCATGTCACGTCATAGGGACAGCCTGCAGGCACACACAGATCAGCAGAGCGGCCAGCAGGGGGCAGTGGCAGCACTGCTCTCTCCATACACTGCTTACCATTTAATACCTGAGTACTACTGGAGTAAGGGATTACCTTCTAAAATTAGCAGGAAGCTGGGGGAAAATAATTTGAACAAGTCAGTGGTTAAAGCGAGCTATGTTGGGTGAATGTAGATATTATCCAAAGAAGCACCTCATAAAAAATCGACCACTTCTTATAAAGCAAAAAGTGATCTCTTGCATGATTAACTATAATGGATTACTTCCCCAACACTCTGTATAACAATTCTGACTTCATGATGCTAGACTTTATGGAGTTCTGTTTCTCACAGTCTTTATGATCGGAATCAGTACAATCAACCTATGTCATTGTAAGTATTGAACAATGCAATGTTTATGTATGAGATGTATTTAAAAGAATAGGGCAAATTTAGGTTTGTGTATATATCATAATGAAAAACTTGTGTATAAGCACAATATTGAATGGCTGTGTGCAACTGGCAAACTCCTTGTGCATTTTGTTGACATAAAAGTATCTGTAACTGCAACTTACATGACAAGCAGAGTAGTACCCTACTGATACAATTGCTCTGTGTGAGATAAATTATCTGGGGAGTGACCCTTCTGTAGTGTCACAGAAACACCACCAGTCTTGTAACAACATACTTAATTCACCTGCAGATGCTCTACCTCATAAAAGCAAAATCCGTTTGTAGTTAGCAAGGAGCTGGCAAATATGGAAAGTTTCCTATTGGTTCCATTCCTGTACTTAATTCCCCCAACTAGATCAGTTAATTTGTTTACTGATCTTCAGTCAATTTTTACAGGTCAAATTAATTAGGTTCACAGAATGAAGTGGATTTGTAGCAGCCAAATATCAAATGCCCACTGCTTTTGCTGTTATAGCACCAATATACCATTACTGTCTCCTTACCAGAATCCTTCTGAACTGTGTTTCTAACACATACTGTATTTCACTCTCCATACCAGGACTCTTCTGGACTACATTTTTAACACACACATCACTGTTTAATTCTGTATCCTTACCAGGACTCTTCTGGAGTGTATTTCTAAGCTGCACATATCTATTTAAGACTGTCTCCTTACCAGGTTCAGGCATATTCCATTCCTGGCATAAGAACGGACTGCTGGGTTCTGAAGGTTTTCCAATGCCCACAATATTCATTGCGAAAGCCCTGAACTGGTAGGAGTGACCTTCTTGCAGGCTGCAAACCTTGAACAGAATAAAACACATACAAAAGACTATATGTGGACAGAAAAGCTTCCTGATTAAATCTGAGAGAAACACACTAGATGGCAGCTCCTTTGTGAAAAAGGGCTGCTGTGAATGTCATTTTTCGGCAGTGCTCTTACAGTCTCCATTTATTATATCCCCTGTGCTCTTCGCTCTGCTACTACGCTGCTAAAGGCGCAGAGGTGAGCCGCGCATTATTAAAAACTTCATTTGACTGAATAATTAAACATGCTTGCTAATATCCCAGCACAAATATAATAGGGTAGTTCAAACTAACACAACAGAGCAATACAAAATCATGGTGCTTTATGATTCTTGAAATATTCTGGTGGAGAAGTGTTTGATTATTTTAAAGCATTTAAAGTTGAATCTTTAGGCCAATGCATTGCCACACTGTCAACACTGTCCTACCCCAGTGTTAGAGAATATACAGTACTGTATTTTCCTTAGGAAGGACCTACAGTATTTTGTCCAACGTAGTGGCAATTGCCTTGCATGTGGATTGTCCTGTAGCTTCCAAGAACTGTGATGTATTAGCAAACCAGGGTCTATGTCTCATTAGGCTACACTATTGGAAATAAGGCAAATGTAAATGACCTTACACAATAGGCACGACTGTCAGTGCACATCTATTGTTCATTGCTGAAGGCAACAGCAGTCAATGTGTCAATTCAGACAGTCGCAAGTATTTACAGGTATCAGTTAGTGGACGACAAAACCGCCGTCAGGCAGCACAATACATACAGTAACTCAAGCGGCATATTTAAACCTCACACCTCAGATGCTGCGATCTGAGTGGACCCGTTTTTAACACCGACATCTGTTGTCATCTACCTGTAGTAATACCGTCATTGGCTGCAGCAAAGGTACAGTACATATTTGCAGTTGGAGAAGCTGAGCTCCACATGTATTAAATGAACACTTACACGCAACATTGGCGAGTTCGGTTTAATGATGTCTTGTCATTTGTGCATCACAAAACCTGTTCATGTGGATATTATGGTTATACAGTTTCATTTTCTGTGCAGCTCGCCAAATGAGACGCTGACTGCAGTATGTTTCACAGTTAGCGCAATTGTACAAAATATGTCTCACAAAAAAATGCGCCTCTAAATTATTTGTTCCCTCAGGTGATTATTCGCAATGCTCGCTCCACAAATCACTCGCCGCTTCAAAATGTGCCTAATACATCCAATTGGGTCATACAATGAATGTCTCGCTTGTGATGCGGGCAATAAGCATTAAACCCCTGCTGTTGCCGAAACCTTGTCAGTGATGAGATGGAAGCGTGTTTTTCTCAGGGCACGAAATTTAAACCCAAGGCTACACCTCTGTAATAGCCTTTATACAGCAGGACTTTAAAAGGGGGTGTTTGATATCACCCTAGACCAATTTTCAGACCAATTCAAAAATCCAACCATGTTTTCAGTTCGGTTTGACCGAACTAGCCCTAATGATACTCGTGCAATTTCACTGACATGCCATATTATGCTAATGAGTAATTGAATTCGGGAATATACCTTGTATATGGTATGAACAATTGAAAGCTTCTTATTTTAAGAGTTATTAACTGCTGTTGTGTAAAGATAAAGCTGATAAAAGGTTACACTTCAAATAATCCCTCTGCAATTTCCCTTTCCAATGTGATACCATAGTTTTTACAGTTTGATAGTTATTCCTCATACTGGACAGTAGAGAGCACTAGATCCAAGGAGAATGAGTGTTAATAAATTCAGATTTCGCTTTAGAAATAATCAAATTCTATCGGTTCACATTACAGCTTTCCTTCTAATGAGTCTTGATAGGTTTGTATGCCTTCTGACTGTTAAATGGAAAGAAAATATCGAGAAAATTAATTTAAGTCTACTCTATAGTGAAAAGAGCAAAGGCGTCCAAGTCCCGCGTTTGAAAATCGATAAGTTTAATTAATTTAATTTAATTGGAATAATCCTTAGAAAAAGGAGTCAGCTAATTTCAGCATTAAGCAGGAATTGATTACAATGCAAATGAAAGATCTATCTCTGGGTCTCCCATAAGGGGGCACTGTGGTTTAAAAGGTTTGTAAGAAATGCGAAGCAGAAAAAACGAAATAATGCAATATATTTGACTGGCGTACGATGTTATTAGTTATACGTGGAATTGTAGAAAAAGGGATGTGTGCACCTTCTGCAATGCAAAACAAAGCATGAGATTCGGAATAAAAAATATGAAGAAAACCGCGTGCTGTCTTGTCACGTGTAGTATTCTTTAAAAGCTGCGGCACCAGAATACAGAATTATTCTAGCTACTATTATGAGCGAACTAAAAGGGAGAAAAATAATTTTCTCCTTCCTTTTGGACTAAATGAAACAAGTTTCAATTCTATCGGGAGGTATGTGTGCTTCTTCCATCGTGGTCTGGCCTTTCAAGTTGCCGTTGTATCAGTCAGAAACGAGCAGGAATACTGTGAGTTGAGAAAGTGAGTTTTTGCTGCCCGTTCTAATATAATCAGCACCCCTTTAATTTCGATTTTTTCCCCATTTTCCATTCTCTGCACGCTACAACAGAAATGGCACTCGCATTAATTATAAAAGTGCTTGTTTTCAACAAAAAGACATTTTCATTAATGTATTTTTTTTACTGTTTAGTTATAAGTGGTAGAAGCGAAACTGCTATATACTGTTCCGCTCAATTTGAGTCCTGATTAAGGGACGGCTTCCAATATCCCGTTCGCTAATGGACTGCTGTTGCACACTGTTGTAGAGGAGCTTTATAAATGGTACTGCTCTTAAAAATTAAGTAAACAGGGTTAACGTCTTTTGCAACTCGTATAAACAAGAACGGTGTCATACCCCATCTTTCCTATATATACCTCTATACCCTCGCATTCTATACCCTCTTCTTTACTAACCGTAACCCTTAACAACTATTCGCTTAATGATAATATACTATGTGTCGGTAACAACGTACCAGCAAAGGCTATAGAAAGGTCATCATTATTAAGAACTAAATACGGATGGATGAATGTATTGGGCGGAAAAAAGGATAGCACTTTATGTTGGGGTACAGTAATATACAAACCCCTAATCACATCAATATCGATGTCAATAGGTTCACTATTTCTCGCGTTCAGAACCTGCTGCTAGCGGTGCTACGTCAATATCACAATTGTCTCGGAGAATCGTAATCCACTAAGCGCGAAGTGCACAACAAGGCGACGATATCGAGGATCTATCTGACTGTTTCGCGACTCCAGACATCATATCGTTGAGCGGTGCACACGAAGTATCAGGCGACACTAACATTCCTGCCTTCAGGGGCAGCAATGTCTTCTTCCATTCTGCCTTGTGGCAGTCGTGACATTTAGGTTTAGACAAGAGTAGTGCACGATGTGTTCCCTTGAAAGAAGTGAATTAATGATATCTTCGGTGATCATTTGTGAATGTGTACTTCAGAAGAAATATCAGAACTTCATTTGTTGTGTATTTTAGACCTTGCTAGTAAATATATGTACTGTATAAAACCCCCGTTGTGCAGTTTCTGGCTGAAGTGTTGTTGTCAGCATTATACTATGAATTTGTTTATTACGAAATAGTTTCGCTGCTGTGGAAAAAAATCATAGTTGTTTTTAGAGGAAAATGGAGATCACTTGCACCTGCAATATTTTGAGAAAGGATTTTTAAAAATGTTTTTAGCACTGAAAAAAGTGTAGTGTTAGAAGCGAATCGACAGTCTTGGGCAGATCAGCACATAATGTCTGACAAAAAAGCCTCTCGGCACATTTCCCAGCTTTTCATTTGCTCCCAAGCACAGCGGGGAATTTAAAGGATCACTGCCCTAGGGGAATGATCAGGCTGTGGACTTAACTGTTGCACCTGAGACCGGAAAGGCTCTCCGACTTCCATATAGTTTGACAGATCGGAAGCCTTTAATATGTTTTATTTCTTCCCTCACTTGAGACTCATCTTGTACAGTAGCGCAACAAATTAATGTACAATATCATTTGTCACATAAAAGCAGGATCTGGAGACTGGTAGGCCTATCAAACAGATTCAGACAAAAGATTATTATTTTTTTGCTCCCCAGACATGGTGAAACTGGCCAGTTCTTTGTGACAGACTGATCACTCCAGATGGTTATCTGCACAAGTCGCAGGTGCTGAGCCAGGATTTCGGGGCGATCATACTGCACCTTGTACACCCTTTCAGAGGTCGGCTTGACATTGACTTCATGCCAGACCAGCTCTGAAGTGTCCATTTGGTCCAGGAAGTAGCCCTGTATGGCACTCCCACCATTTCTGGCCGGAGCTCTCCAACCAATCACCATCTCCGTACTCCCACAGTTCAGCAGGGCTATAGCCAAGGGCGGGGAAGGAGGGGCTGATGGGAAGAGAAGAGGACACAAATTATTCTGCACAGTATGCCTTTAGCTGTAGCAAGGAACAAGAAACACATCTAAATCCTCCTGAACCTTCTTGGCACACGGTGTCGGCTTTATTCCAAAAGCAATCTCCAGCACTGTGTACATGCCTTATCTCACTGAGCTGCACCTCACCGTGAGCTGTATTCATAAAACAAGTGCCACTGCTCAGATTAGCCCCCTGTTTTCCAATCGTAAAACTGATAGGAAAACTCAACAAAGTTAAAAGTTGGAGTAAAGGACCTTGGAGAAGAGTTGAGGAGAGGAGCCAGGTGAGGTGGTTCAGGAATCTGGTGAGGACCTTCTGCTGGTGGTGTATTATATCGGGCACAGCCCACTGAAAAGAGACTGGGGGGCAGAGCCTAGACACACTGTTGGGATTCTGTCTCTCAGCTGGCCTGGGAGTACCTGGGAATCAACGAGGAGGAGCTGGAGATTGTTGCTGAATAAAGTTAATAAATGTCTCATGAGACTAATAGTTTGCAGATATAATCTTGGTCTCTAAGAGCCCTAATGTGTCTGTAGAAAGTGAGGATTTTAGCTGTTTCTCCAGGTCTAGGTTTGGTAACATCAGAACTTCCCTAAAGTGTCCATTTTTTTTTTGTTTTCCTTTTTTCCCTCCCAACAGCAGTTACCATAGTGGGATGAAAAACACCTTATGTACGCAACTGAGAAAGAGAAATAAGGGGCCGTTTGGGGAAAAAAGTTTCCACGTCTCATGACATCCCAGTATTGCCTTTAAACAGCCCCAGTTTCTTCATAGGTGTTGTGTGAAACAGGAGCCGGGCAGTATGGTGGGGCAGTGGTTAGTATTTCTGCCTTGCAGCGTTGGGTCCCTGGGTTCAATTCTGGACCTGGAGTGCTGTCTGTGTGGAGTTTGTACCTTCTCCCATGCTCACATGGGTTTTTCTCTGGTGCTTTGGTTTCCTCCCACAGTCCAAAGACATACATACTGGCCTGGACCATTAGCCCTGGTGTGAGTGTGTTACTGTATGTCCGTGTCTGTGAGGGCCCTGCAAAGGACTGGCATCCCATCCAGGATGTATCCTGACTTGTGCCCGTTGCTTGCTGGGACAGACTCCTTTCCTTTGGCTCTTTCTGTGACCCTGAATTAGAAGAAGCCGTTAGAAAATGGAGAGCTAGAAATAACAGCCTCCAGGGCCACAGAGGTCAGACCATTTTACATCAACCTAACCTCCAGCTCTTTGCTGTGAGGAAAGGTTGGTGTGCTGTTTTGCTTCTTTTTAAATATTACTTTTGGACAAGAAGAAAGATGCGCCCTTTTTTTCCCCACCATTTTCAAAATGAGAGAAGGCTGACCTGTCCTTTCTGCAATAAAGTCCTATCTCACATAAAACAATTCTTTAACCTTTCTGATTCTGGCAGCTGCAGTAAAGAATTGGGCCTTCCTGAAAATGTAGTAAAATGGAAGAACAGCTGAGTCTAATGATTAAAAAGAGAGGCAGAAAGTCTGGATTCTCAGGGAGCCAGCACTGTGCTCTTTAAAGATTTATTAAAGGGATTGCTGAACCTCCTGCCAGCCTTACCTGACTCTGCACCTTCTGTTAATAATGACCACAGGGAGATTCCAGAGTTGTTTTTTTAAAGAGATGTTGTCACGCCCTCTGCAGCCAGAGGGCGCTCCTTCTCTGTCCTGTCCCTAGTTTCCGGTCTGCTGTCCTTCCTGTCCCTCTCTTTCCCTTGGGCTATATATTTCCGGGTCTTGCACTCTGTCCTCGCTCAGCATTGAGGTTCGGATGTCCTGAGACCCGCCTAGCACCAGGGCGCCCCACGTCCGCTCCCTGAGGGCATAGGTTTCTATACGGCATTCCTGAACTCTGTGCACTATGAGCCCGGGCCTTTTTTCCCGTCTCGCCGCTACGCATATGGGTCTTTTTCCGCTCTCCTGCTCCCCACGGTTTGTCCCTTTGGACGTCCGTGACAGATGTTAGCAGAGGGGTGCATTTATATTCAGCAAGTTAGCAGCTATCTCGATAACCATTGCTTTATACTGGTTTACTAAACCTAGATGAAAAGAAAGCTCTTCTTATTCATATAATCTGCCAAATCTTTCTCCTCTGTTGGACAAATTGGAATCCAATAATGTTACACAGTTTAAGACAACCCCATAGTTTTTAACAGTATTTTGTCAACAGTTGATGTGTTGATGATGTTGATGTGTTATTAATGACTGAACAGTCTAGTCAGTTTCATTTTAGAACATATAGAACAGGTCAATTTATAGAAATTTCAGTGAACTTTGTGGTAGTAATGTTGTTTGTGGTAGTAATCAGACTGAAGAGCTACTTGTCTTGCCTTTGTTCTGCCTTCAATTAATGTCTAAGTTCAGCGGAGACTTATTCCTTCGAAATTCGAAGATCATTTCTTTGGTCTTGCTGGTGTTAAGCTGGAGATGAATAAGATGACACCACTCCACAAAGTTGGTAATCAAAGTTGGTATAGCTGGAATATCTAAAGCTGGTATAGACATAGCTGTCATTTCTGCACAAGTTCCTTCTACAAACTATTGACAAAGGGGAGTGAATACTTTAGTAGACAAGGTAATACATTTGTCCCTTTAAATTATTATGTAGGGTGTGTGAATTAAATTAAAACATTAATTTCAATGCAATAAAAATTCTGGTTGTAACAACAATATATGCGATTGTTCAGGGTGGTGCAGTATGATGGTAGCAGCATTATGTTAACTTGGACTGGAAAACGTAGGCAGTACAAGCAAATCTTAGAGGAAAACCTGATTCAGTCTGATAAAGACCTCAAGTTGGAAAAAATAGTTACCTACCAGCAGGACAGTGACTCTACAGTGGACTGGCTTAACAAGAAGAAAGTGAATATTGTTGAGTTGCCAACTTGAGCAAATAAGAACAGAGGGAAATTGCACTTTCCCTCAGTGCAAAATTAGCAAAGACTTTCACAAAAAGACTTGCAGCTCTAATTGCTGCCAAAGGTGCTTCTACCCAGCACTGACTCTGGTGGATGAATACTTGTACAACTAACCTATTTTAATTTTTAATTTTTCTTTGCAGATTTTGCTGACTTTTAACTTTTTTTAGCCATAGAAGTGTTCCGTTTGAACATTCAAGCTTTGATTAAATATATTCACTTCAGGAAAGCTGTTTACATCATTTGGAAATCAACAAAACAGAGCACTGTTGGCAGGGGGTGAATGCTTTTGCAAGGCACTGCATATATTCATTGTGCATCTCTGCATAGAATTGACCATTGTAATTGCATGTTTATCCAAGCCACGGTTCAGTGCAGCTTCTTTTTTTCACTCGTGATCATGCTTTGACAGGCACAGAATACACCTCTGTAAAACTCACAGATTGCTGCTTTGACTACAATAGGTGCTGACTGCTCGGAGTATTCGCTGCTCCCTGCTGCGCTCACTGACTTCACTTTGAACACATAGCTCTTCCAAGGCGTCAGGCCATGAACTGCAAACCTAGAAAGGGACACAGAGAAAGAGAAAAGAGAGAATGTGAAAGAAAGTGTCGTTGTTAAATGCTCAGCTGTGTATGATGGACCTCTGTCCTGTCTTTGCTTTTAATAATCATGAAAAAAAAACTAATTCCCCATGCAAATTTGTTGTACCTGAAAGCAAAGAAGAACCCTCAGACCTCGCTTAATGGTGCAGCAAATATGGTTTTCAGTTCCCATGCAGGAGATTTTAGAGCTGAAATTTTCTAAAGCTTCACAAAGAGACAAAGCTGTGCCATACATAATATCAATCACAATTACAAAGCCATAAGATGTTCCAAATTTATAAAGGTGGTTGGTCCTCATATCATTAATAGGTTTACTCAAACTGTATCATGGAAAAGAAACAGTCCACACTATGGGATGTTATTTCAGGGCCTGTAGGGTATTACTCAAGAGAGACATTGGGCACAATTGGGTGAGCACTGCAGACATTAGTGCTCCTTTGTGTATATTGTTCTTTCTACCATAGGAATGCTTTCTATGGACTCATTTGTGAGAGCACCAAAACTCATTATGGCATAGCTTTCACAGTGCAGCTTTACAAATTGGGTAACCAACATTATCAGCACCTCATATACAGGCAAGTTTTAATCATATACTGGCATCTCTTCCCTTGCAGGTGGCTGGTGTACCTGTTGCCATTAACTGGCTTGTTATTAACTGTCAGCCACTTGTCTGTCCCGGCCTCACAGCTGTAGACGTAGTAGCCAATAATATCCTGAGCGTTCTTGGGTTCCTCCCACTGCAGCAACACTGACGTGTCTGTGTCCCTGTAGGCCACAATGCCATGTGCAGGAGGAGGCAGTGCTGACAGAGAAGCAGAAAAAAATATTTTATGCACCTTAAACATAGTTCATATTATTTACCTGTATTTGTAAGTCTCTCTCTCCCTTGTGTTTGCTCTTACAGTCATATAAACCACACATTTGCGGCCGTATAGGAGGTCAACTCTGCTGTATTTCTTAATGTGAGTCAGAGGTCTTATACCACATGAAAATAGAAAATAAATTGTATGGTGTTGTTTCTAGTTGAAACCATAGTTCAGGAACATGTTTCTCAGCCATTGCCACCTATAAGTAATGGGTGCATTGATTGAAATGAAATCTTTCATTCACTTCTTTTCGAAAAAAAAAACTAACACCACAAATGTAATATACAGTATATTTGAATCAACCCTGAAAACTAAGGCCAGACAAGCTGAATGCACCAATAGAAAAAGAACAATAAATTAGCTTTTAGTACATTTTAATTAAACAATACTGAGCACTTGGGAATTCTAAAGGGTGTAAATGCACATGTTTAATTCCTCTTTAAATATTGATGCAGGGGTGAGACATTCTGGAGCTAATGTCATTATGCACTTCAGCTCAAAAAATATACAGAGTGACTGGGCTGTCTTCTTGTATACCTCACCAACCACAACCCTATCTGGCAGGTCAATACGGTCAGTGAACATCAGCGTGCAACTGTAGCTCTGGCACTGGATGACCAGTTCCAAGAAGAATGATGGCAGGCTGGTCCACAGCTCAGGATTACTCTGCAGCAACCCATGTTGGAAGAGGAGGAGTACATTCTATGGAGAGTTTGCAGCGCAAGTCTAGGCAAAATCCTAACTTTTCCTAAGCCTAATCCAAAATCCTCATTTTCAACATCTTTTCCTTCTAGGTGCCTGCTCTGTACCAGCGTTTACTCTTCATGCACTTACTGTACTTTTCAATGCTGTTGGCATAGTTCAACAATGTCAGAGAGCTTATTTGGAAGTGGGATGCATGGTCTCACTCCCATGGTCTCCATCTTAGCCACCACATGGCAGTGATTCACTTTGCACCTACCCTGCCATCACTCCCTCAATGTGGCAACACACTGCAAGGAGCTGTTCAGCGTGGTTGTCACAACAGCATGACAAAGACTATGTCCAGAAAGAGCATCACACCTTCTGCCTCGTACCCTCAACAGCACAGACTGATCGAGACTGCCCACTGTCTTTAGCCACTCACCGCTCAGCAAGCCTTGCTGCATGACTCTGATGTTCAATTGAAATTGAAATTGAAAAGACTTTATTGATCCTGAAGGGAAATTGATGAGGCTCGAGGCTCTCTAAACGACGGTACCGCAAGAATAACTTTAAGGAGTTACAACAGAGACCCTGCCCAGAACAGGCACATCCTGCTTGTCAGCGGAGAAGGGGTTTCAGAGCCCTTACCAGTTTTTTCCTTCAGCGAGATGGGTTCGCTGCAGTCAGACGGGTCACTGACTCCGTACTTATTGACCGATCGGACTCGAAAGAGATAGGAGCGTCCTTTTTGGAGGTCAAACACAGGGAACCTCGGAGAGTTCACAGGAATATCCAAGTTTGACATCATCCAGCTGTTGCTGCCCGCTACGGACTGAAGAAAACAGGGTACGAGTCATGCATTCTTGTCTTAGTGAGTTTGGTTTTAGAGTCTGTAAAAGTAACATGTTTTAATGCAGCAATTAAAACTATATTTTTACTGGTTCATAGAGGAATATTGCAGAGCATTTTGACAAATTTCTTAATTAATTATTTAATTTATTTCTCTACACAAAAAGGTACTTTAGACAACTTTAGGTTCAGTCAGCTATATCTCACCTTCTGTATGCTGGTTTATAGCTTTTTCAGCGTTCTGGTTGTTCTGGAGGGGATCCAATTGTGTTTATGGATACGTATACATAACAAAAATCAAGTATTACTATTTATTTTTCTGTGTAAATGTGAAATTTGCTCATAACCTTACAGAATTTACACCAAATTGTGGACTCAAACAACTCAAGCCTTTAATGGTCGACCCCCACTGTTGCAGGGGATTGTGGGAGTCAGCACATGACAGAGTGAAAAGATGGAATTCAAGGAAAAGTGCTCGGGGAAAAGTGAGTGGAGTTCAAGCCATCATAGCACCGATTACCTGCTCTATGTAGTAGGAGAGATGCTCCCTGCCCCGCGGGTCTGGTTCGGCCCAGCTCAGTATGACGTAGCTCTCACTGCTCTCGCTGGCATGCACACCAGTGGGTGGTAAGGGAACAAGAATGTCCGCTGTGAAGGACAGAGGAGACTCTGAAGTTTCAGTCTGTCGAGGAAAACAGCCTCTCACAGGATGTTATGTAATATCAATAAGGTTAAGCAGCATTTTAAAGAGATCACTTATTTCCAGTAGAGGTTTGATAATGGCCTGTAATGTTTGGCAGAATTCAAAGAATTATAGCTGATACTTTAATGTCCAAATTTCTTGCTGTCTCTCCAATTGAACCTTAACAGTAATAATTCTTCTTCTTCATTCTAGCGTTAATCCCGCATTGGCAGGGTCCGCTTGTCTGCACGCCCGTCTCCATTTGGCGCGGTCATAGGTGTCTTCCGGGGCGACGTTCACTTTCCGCATGTCTTCAGTGATCCGATCCATCCACCGCTTCTTGGGCCGCCCTCTCAGCCATTGACCCTGCGGGCTCAGTCGGATCGCTGTCTGTGCCACTGTGTGGTCGCCACTTCTCATCACATGTCCATACCATCGCAGTCTTCCTTCTCGCATCTTCTCCGTTATTGGTGCCACTCCCATGCATCGACGGACATCGTCATTGAGGACGTGGTCAAATCTTGTTAGGCCGAGACACCACCAGATCATCCTCACTTCCACGACATGGAGGGCCTGCTCATGCCTGGAATTTGCTGGCCAGCATTCCGATCCATACAGGGCAACAGGACAGACAACGGTCTTGTAAACTTTGGCCTTGAGTCGGATTGGCATCCGGCGATCGCAGAGAATGCGATCATGCACGCTGCGTTCGCTCGGGCCCTGGCGTCTCGGAGGGTGTCGCAGTCGCTGCTGCTGATGGAGCCGAGGTATTTAAGCTGCGTCACTTTCTTGAGCTCTTCACCACTGATGCCGATAGTTCCATCCGTTTGAGGGCCGCACTCCATGTACTCGGTCTTCTTGGTGTTCAGCCGCATTCCATGCCCGTCCAGTCGGATCTTCCAGCTCTGCATTTGGTGTTGAAGACATCGTCGGCGTAGAGCAGCAACCACGGGTGAGGTGCCTGGAGGTCGGCCGTTGCCGTGTCCATGCAGAGCAGAAAAAGCAGGGGTGAAAGGGCCGATCCTTGGTGAACCCCGGCGTTGATGGCGAAAGGCGGTGAAGTGCCCACAAGGGCCTCAGACAACGCTGGTGACGTTGCGTAATTGCAAGGCGAGCCAGTAATAGTTTCAATTAGAAAATGAACATAAACAATTAAGGAAATGTTTGTATTGAAGGCAACCTGCAGAGGCTTGGGGAGACCACGATCTACTGCAGTCTTCTTATAATGGGACCTGAGTGTTAATTCTCAGCAAAAGAGTGTAAAAATATTCAATAAACACAGGCACAACCAGAACCTAAACCAGGACCCCTCAGCCTCCCTTAAAATGATCAAACAGCTTTTAGTGCAACTTACATCAGCCAAACTACAAAAGCCCCCAAAATTAAAATGGCACATCTTTTTTTTTGACTAGAAAAAAGCAGCACAAGAAACTATCAGGCGTTCCATCTTCTCCTATTATCTGTAGCCGAGGCTTTGTTCCCAGGTTCTGCATACTGCATATAATTGAATAATAATAGAACATTTTTAAAATTGAGTTTGTGAATTTAATTAAGAAAATCGTTACCTTCAAGTTCGTCCTTAGTAATAATTATCTCCTTTCCTTTATCCAGCTTCACCACTGTAAGATAAAATTGCACACAGTGAGGAGCAGTCTGGGTTATTGGTGAATTACAAAGGTCTGTGCTGCAAAAAAAGGATTCTCTGGTATTAGAGACAGATATTATTCACAGGGCAGGATAATAATGGTGCATTCTTGAGCTTGGTGGTGCTTTCTCTTTGTGAATAATCTTTTTTCCTTTTAAAAATATCAGATTTTTTTGTAATGTCCTTTACACGCATTGTTTAAATCATGCTACAACTGAACAAAATACCTTATAAAGGGAAAGGAGCTACATCCATGTATTTACGATATGGTGGAAGATCTGAACACTTACATTTCCCCACACGTCTTACCTCAGCTGGAATGTGAATTACATTTGCTTGCCTTTATATTCCCTCAGGACCACAATACCCTTACCTCTGGTCAAGCCGAGGTGTCTTCCAGTAAGAAAACAGGTAAGAGAAAGAAATCCCTAGGAGAATCAATGAGGTAGTGTTTCTCTGGAAGAGTTGAATGAGGAAGGACCGACAGATGGCCAATAGGACCAAATCAGTTTCCCGAGGTGGTATACTGGCTTGTGTAGAATTTCTTTTCACACCTGCTTGAATTGCTGGCAGGTATAGGGGATGCGTGGGCTTACCCATGATCCTGCTAGCCTCGGCGGGGTCTGTCATAGTCACAGGATTGCTGCTCTTGGAGGGTCGACCAATTCCGGCGTTGTTCACCGCTCTTACCCTGAACAGGTAGCTCTTGCCGTCCAAGAGGCCAAAGACTGGGTACCGGCAGAACTTGTGAGGGGTCTCATTGCACTGCACCCACTCTCCAGTCTCTACGTCACACCTGGAGACAAACAAAGAGCCGACATCCTCAGGACACAACCGTGACGTCTGTGAGAATGGGGTCCTTTCTGGGGTACGTCTATGCTTTGATATCATGCAATATCATGAGCTCTATTGTCTTCGCCTTCTATACTGCAGTGGACACGGTGATGACAGTGATGACACAGAAGACAGCTTCCAGATTCTTCAGATCAAGGGTGGATAAAGGGAGTATTTTCCATAAGCTTTGTTAGATGAATATGATTTCAGATATCCTTTCCAGCAGCATTCATAAACGATACTCCAATTGCTGAGTTGAAGTGGAGTCCCATGAACAGGCCATCCAGAATATAATCCAGTAGTTCTAAACAGTGTTCAATGCACTACTGTATGGAAAGTTCTTGTTCATCTGGAGCACATGTGAGTTAGAGGAGGAAAGAAAGTGTAAGAAAGAAGTTAAAAAATACTTTCCTTCAGCTCCAAATCCTAAAACCCACCAGACCTCAACACTTACTGTTCTGATTGATGGAAATATTCCATTTCCTTGTTGGGGGGGTTAAGGGCAGTAAGATAATATTAAAAACGATCGTTACAGAAGGGACAGACATGATCACAGAGATGGGTGGGGGTGAGCGAAAGCAACAAAACAAAATCTACACCAACAAATCGAGATGTAAGAGCTGAAGAGGACACGGACATTTTTTACAAGGGAATCTTTCTCAGCTGGTTTTCCATTAAAAAGTCAACTTGTATTTCTAAGCTTTTTACAGATATCTTTATATCCTAACTATCCAGTGGAAGATCCTGGGTCCTTACTATCCAAAGCAAACATACTCTATATAATGAGGCACTTTAGAGTTCTGTAGCATTCCCAACTGTATTCAAAATAAAATGACAACACATTTTCTCAAAAATATCCAGCACCAACCTAGAGTCACTCAAACAAGAGGCTTTTCTCCTTTTCCTTCGTTTGTTCTCCCAGTTTGTTCTGAAGCACCTTTATATACACTTCAAGCCTACATGTCATATTATAACCCTTTTCATGGGATAGTTGTATTCACGTTCATCACTTACGATGCAACGAAAAGGAAAACATTTGGCATAGTTGATAGCTTGTCAACTTTACTGTACTTTTTACGTTTGAGCCACTACTTCCAGCCAGTCCCAGAGAAATGAATATAAAGGTTATTGCATGAAATAATGCTTCTAAATTTCAATTACTTGTAAACAATTGTAATATTTAATTATTTAGGTCTGTACTATAGACAAATAATATTTAAAAAAGTAAGGCCTTAGTTCTACTTGATGGCCTACAGTTAAGTGTTATTTTCAGTAATTATCTCCACCTTTGGTAAAAAAAGCCTTAGAGCATTTTTTCTACTCCAAAAGAGCTCCGGTGGGGTTCATTAACATTTTTCTTTTTAATTATCTCAGCATCAGACTACAGTTTGAAGAAAATTTGGCAAGAATATCAAAATTTGGTCAGGAAAGGCTCTTTTGACCTATAGCTAGGTTTTGGTACATGTGGGAGTATGAAATAAGATACCCATTTTGGTTTTTGAGGTAATGGCTGTGTGAGATACTGGGACCAGTTGCCTAGTCTTATTTATAATATTTCTTATGTTCTTACTTTTACCTTTTTATTCTTATATAACTGTTTTTAAAAACTGACCAAGTTACATATTAGAATTAGCTCTCAAGAGTGGTGAGTCAGTGTGTGGGCTGCAAAAAGAACAAGCACAGAGTAGCTGTTGACATTTTCTGCACTTGCGTGCTTGTGTTTGGGTCCTAACAGCCTAAGCAGATGCATCTGCAAACTGTCAACGTAGTATGTTGGAAATATTATGTGTCAGTCAGTTAACGCAAAGTGGTAGTAGTTTTTTTTCTCATTGTTTCTCAGTGTTGTGGCAGGACTTGATCCTTGGCTGGCAGAGGCATCTTCCAGCTTTTAGAGAAGAAGATTTATGTAGAAGGAAATTTGTTATGGCACAGAACAGTAGGTGGTTCCCAGTGTTCTCATTCAGACAGCAAATTGAATTAAATAAATGGTGCCTGTTGGTGGCATGGTGGTGCAGGTGTAAGTATTAAGGCCTCACAGCAATGGGACCCTGGGTTCAATTCTGGACCTGTGTTTCATGTGCGTTTCCTCCAGGTGCTCCAGTTTTCTTCCACATTTACTGGTAGATGAGGCTTCTGTGAAAATCAGCCCTGGAGAGAGTGTGTGTGTTTGCCCTGTGATGGATTGGTGTCCTGTTCAGGATGTTTCCTGTCTTGCACTGATTTCTGCCTGCTGGGACAGGATCTAGCTCACCTGCAACCCTAAATTGGAAGAAGTGGTTAGAAAATGGATGGATGGGATATTTGCCTGATTGGTGCATTCAAGTTCACAATTTCATCGTTATGCTATACGGGAGATTGAAGGCTAAATAATCAAATTGGTTCAATATTTTTAATAAAACCTTCAGTTGCTTATTCCTGGTAATGGCAGCCCAGAGCCAATCTCAGAAGCAGAGAGAAAAATGTGGGAGTAGGATATTGGGACCTTGGAGGGACACCAGCAAATCACAGGGCACTTGAGCACAAAGAGGACAATTCAGAAACAGTAGGCTACCTAGACAGCAAGTCTTTGAACAATGGGAGGCCCACCTGGGGTTAACATACAAGCTCCACCTAGTGGAGACAAATTGACCCATGTTGGAACTGAATTCGGGAACCGAGAGGAGTAAGAAAGCAGCTCTGATTGTTGTGCTTTGGTGCCACTCTTGCATCAAACAGCAAGAGAAAATTCTAATGAAATCACATAAACGTTGATTGAACCTACATCCTGAAAGTCATTTGAGCTATTCGTCTACTCCTTGACTCCTAGCTGCTGGAAGAGTCACAGCTTTTGATGCTGATGCTGCTGTCCTCCAGCTACCCTCTGGGTACCTAGATGGCACACTTCACATTTATGTACCATGTTGAACATAATAAGAAAGAAAAATGTGAAAAACAGTACAGATGGAATACATGTGTATAAAGTAGGGAGATAACAAGTAAGAGGAAGTGATTATAACGGTTCCATGGGTGCGATGTGCAGGGGACTGATAGCGATCCTGACAGAAAAGCATTAGCGCACTAGCAGTTCAGCCTGGTATGATGTCATGACCTGGGGCTAGGCAGGGAGCCAGAGAGCTGGAGAGTTTTTGATAGTTCGTCAACTTTACAGTACTTTTTACGTTTACTGTTGAAACCTGCTAACACACACTTTCACAGATACTCATTTTGACATCCCAACTGTATTTTGCATGTATAGTCTTACAAAGTCGATTTTCGAACTGCACATCACCTTTAAGACTGGGTGACACTACACACGGTGGAACCCAGTGCAAATTAAAACGACGTACAGCTCAGTCACTAAGTAAATTACTAAAGTCACAAGTACTTTAAAGATTATTATCATGTGTTATATTCTTATACCCATCCATTGATTTTCTAATCACTTTTCATCTAATCACTTCGGTACTGTGGGAGAGCTGGAGCCTATCCCAGCAAGAAATGGGTGTAAGGAGGGGTACACCCAGGATGGGACACCAGTCCATCGCAAAAGCATTATATTATTATTATATTAAAACAGAGGAAACATTCAACACCCAGAAAATGACAGGATAAGAAGATAGTCAGAGAGATACAGAGGAAGATGCAGAAGCAAGGCAGAAAACAGAGAGAGATGTGTACCAGGTGAGAGAACCTTGTTCTGATTCATCTGGAAAACCAGATTCTTACTCAGCATTTGAACCTTGTTTAAAAGAACGTTATGTTCTGTTATTTAAGGAAAATTATTTTGTGGAGGAATCCCCAGGCTAAAGACGTTCTCCCCTAGTTGGCTATACATTTGTAGAATAGGGAGATAGACTCCCATTCACTTAGGGACATCGTGGTTTATAGAGAGGGAGAATCGTATTCTGTTAATTGAGGGAGCAAGTTTTATCTCTCTTGTTGGCCTGTGTAAGTATTATATACAGTAGCATCTCTGTGACACCTTGCTTTTGTAAATAGTATATGATTTATGTTGTATGTGTGCAACATTGTGCATTGTCTAGTTGTGTTACTGTTAAAAAAATGTTTATGCTAGTTTGCCTCTCATTTATCACTCTTTTGCCAAAGCTGTGCAAGAGAATAATAACTAAGGTGCATTAAACTGTTCCAACAACATAGGTATATTTTTTACATTTCGATATTTGACATTTGATGGTTAATTTATTTTAATTATTGTTTATCTTGACTCTATTTTACATTTTCTTAACCCCTACTTATATCAATATTTTCAATTTTCGTGGGTAATTGTTTACTTAAGAGAAAAACATGCCACTAAATAAACTACTGAAACTTTATCTGAGTGAGTGCTTTCAGCACATTTTAAGAGAAGAAATCTATCCTGTTTCTGCTAGAAAGTTGATGTGAGACATAAACAGATAAATATTTGCACCCTGGTAGGCTGTTATTGGGAGTAAATAAATTCAGGCTAGGTTTAAGATGGCTTGATATTGGCAGTGATAAATATAAGTTCTTCAGGATAAAAAAAGCTTTCCGAGTGTGCTACTGTGTTGCCAAGCAACGGGTCAGGACACACTACTAGCAGTATATACTCTTTTTCCTGCTTATCAGATTATTTTTTATGAAGGTTTTATCTGGAAGTTTCTGCTTCTTGCCATCCCATTTTTACTTCTGGCAACACTCCAAGCAGATATTAGACAATTTATATAGAGAGTCATTCAGAACCACCTGACTTTGAACTTCCTTCCACTGCTTGGATCAGATGAAGGTGATCTGAAAGGAGTTGTGTTGTGTAAATGGCTACAAAGTAACATAACTGACAATAAAGCAGTTCGAGGAGGTGTCTCATGATTACATATTGTAGCGCTACGGGGTTCAAGTGGGCGCCCTCGCCTGCTACCTACACAGGTCGACCCCAAACCGTCGGGGACGTGAACCCAGGCCTCCGGCATCACTCAACAGGGACCCAGCTTGTTGAGCTAAAGAGAGATCTCTCCACAGCCCAGCGGCTGTGGTCCTGCTATTACAGGGAAGGACGGCGACATCACCGCTCTGGTCAACAGGCTCTTACACAGTGCCTGTCGGCCGTATGCGTTACAATATCAATTGTTTTAAAATTATTTTAAGTTATAAAGTCAGTTTTCTTTCTTTTGCAGCAGATGGGATTTTTTAAAAACAGGAGAGGGAATTAATGGGGAATGAAAAGGGTGTCTATCGCCTGTATTCAGAGAAGGGGCAGGCTCTCTGTTCAGGTGTCCTCATGCAAAGGGATCCTCAGAACTCCTCTCCACCAGTAATTGTGGAAGTTCCTACATCAAAATGCAATCTCTAAACATGTTTTCTTTTCCTGTGAATACAAGATTTGATTATATAAATTAATATAAAAGACACTTGAAGGGTTTATTCTCAGCTCAGACATGCTTGAAATCCAGAAATTAAGTGAAATAATCCCATTATCCTATTATCCAGTTTTTAATTAACCTCTGTATGAAAAAAAACTAACATTACCACCAATTATGCACATATGCTGTTGGATAAGGCCTTCTCAAATGGTGTCCTGCTGCACAGTCAATTTCTTTTTTGATTAACTTAATCTGAAAGAAATTCTGGGTTGAAAACATTCTTCAACTGATACTGACAAATTCATGAAAACATTAAAAAACAGAAAAAAATAGCAATCACCTAAAATCCCTTAGCATCTCCTATATCATATTCTTTAGCATGTGTGTTTGGAATTTCATGAGAACTGGCTACCATATTGGGAAGTGTAGAAAGGTACATTATAACTCAGCTGTGAAGGTCACATCCATCTCCCTGGACTCTCAGACCATGCAGATGGCAAACCAGGCAGGAGAGCTTCACTTTCCTCTGTGCAGGCCTGGCAGAGCCAGACAATAGAAATGAGACTCACAGTCAGAGAAACATCTGTCAAGCACTGGAGCCAGTCTGGTATGAATTAAGGCCAATTCTATGATCATCTGTTTCTGTCTTTAAGGAAAGCTTATTTGTGTCTTAACTGTGTCTCAGGTTATAAAAAAGTGATCCCAAGGAATCTGCCTTCATTTGTAGTGTAGTGAAAATATCTTATTTCATAAACTCCTTTTTAAATGTGAAATCTCCAATTTGGAACCCAATTGTTTCAGTGCCTTTCTTTCCAGCAATGACTCCTGTACCCTCGTTACAGGAATAATGAGGACCAATAAACATTCCTCATCCACAATACCACCCTTGAGAAAACATAATTTGGGCTCTCTGCAAACTCTACAGTGCCTCCCCCTCTGACTGGGGGAGAGATGCATTTCAAACTGACAATCCTAGCCTCTCATGTGGCCAATATGTTTCAGGAGTCACCGATTTGCTGAGGACTTTGGACAATGACCAAACCTTACCTGGCATGGTTCTGGGTGTGACTGTTTACGGAATCTCACTTACAGGCCACTAGTGACATGACCCAGGTTAAACTGGTGAGGTCTGGGCCATAGGTCTCAGCCTGTTCTGTTCACAATCACCTTTACTAGATTTAACCCTTAGGAATCCTCTACAGACAATAGATCTTGCCTTTTTTAAAAGACAAAATGGTTTTGAAACTCATGGGACTTCCTTATCCTGCAATAGTTTAATACAATGGTCCCAATATGTTGAACACACAATACTGTGCTGTTGACAGAAGACTATACTGGATAATCTGATAATGAATTAGTGATATCAAGTGTTTCACTTTTGCTTGTACTGCTTGTGTGTTTAAAAGCCGTTGTAGCCAGACCTGAGTTCTTGTGAGTGAATGGTGTAGGTTCCCAGATTAGTTTGCAGCTCCGCGACAGCAGAATGTATGGGAATAGAAAGAACTGCTCTTACAGGGACCTGACTAAAAGTGGAATACCATGTTAAGAATATCTGCTCAATTCTTACATATTAAACTGGAATTTGTTTTAGTTACAGATATCTAACTAATGTACATTTATGGTTATTACTGATTTATTTGGCTGAGGCTACAGTTTTCTTCTTTGCAAACACCTGGGTTTGTTGGAACATCCTTTGCAAAGCATCTTAATGAAGGGTACAAAAACAGTGTCTGCCTGGGATTTGAACCCACAGCACTCAGATCAGGCCTCTAGACACTCAACACGCCTATGCACTGCTGCTCATGTGACCTGTTAAAAGAACAGCCTCTTCTCATTTATAAATGTGATTTTATCATTACTGGAGTAGCAGGCTGGAGTGTGACACCTGAAGAAGGCTCCACAGTCAAAACATTGTATCTCTTATTTCATTTCCACATGGAATAAACCTTTACCTGTTCCTTGGTTTGTTCAACAGAAAATACAAGCTACTTTCAAATCAGCACTGGCCACGCTGGAAGTTATCACAGTTCAAAGCAGACTGATCCACACCAGGCGGCTGTGTAGTCAAAAGAAGGAGATTCTCCTACCTATCAATATAATAACCAAACACAGGGCCTCCACCATCTGCACTTGGCGGTGTCCAGGTCACAAACACATAATCCTTGTGCACGTCGCGGCACTCCACACTGAGAGGGGACCCTGGCGCCCCGACTACAGCTGCTGCTGCGTCTGTTAAGGAAATAAATAAGGGATAAGGAGCTGAGTGGCTTCCTGCCTGCCGTTAATAACCGGAGAATCTGCTGATGCCAAACTCGGCAGCACGAGAAGGCATCTTTTCAGGAGTTCCTTATTAGAGAGATGGATCTTATCGGGGTCACCACATGGCTCTGTGTCCATGTGGCTATCCAGCAATTCCTCAGCACTCTCTCTCATTCTCACACATTATTCAGCAGGTGCAGATCACTTCGCCTGCTTCTTCAAAGATTTGGATTGCCAACAGCAAACCTACTTATATAGCAAGCAACAACAGAGCAAAGCTGAGCTCTGTAATTACAACTTCTGGCAAAAATGGAAGCTGAGATTTGAAAAGATAGAGAATCTTTTAAAAGCATTTACTACTAACATTAAGATCCAAATCTTGTTTAAAATTGGCGTGAGAGAGCAGATTTCACGCACGATTCACCAGGACTGACTACTGGAAAATGGAACCTCACAGTGGTTGGCAGTGATAATAAGTGCTTTCAGGCATAGCCTGAGAAATAAGTCAAGAAGTGATGAGTGTGTTCCAAAAAATCATGTAAAACATAAACCTCTTTCCTCAAAAGTGCAAAATCAGGGTAGGATATTTTCAATTGACATCCATGACAATATCCTTAATATAAACTCAAATTGTGCAGAAACCTTAGTCTTATCACCTTAAAACATGGAATACAGGGTATATCTATATTCTTCTTCTTTGTGTTAAACAAAGAAGGCATGAGGATGACTTGTAGATTATATCAGTGTTCTTTTTCATGTTTTGAAATAGAATAAACCATGGAAATAACAGGAACAAACCAGTTTTAATCTCAGGTTAGACCACTGGGGAAGAAGTATAAACACTCAATAGACTGAAATAAATTACTGCACATTCCATACAAGGTTACTAGAGCAATCACCAATACCGTAGATGAGCTGAATTCTCTCATAAAACAACAAATGACGAGGTGGTGTATTGCTTCAGGAGTAGATTAATAATGTCTTGGTTAAGATATGCATTGAGGTGTATACGTCCTGACCTCATATAGATATGGTAAGAACTAGGGGAAATAATTACAGATAATTGTTGTGTAAGGGATACATAAAGACACAGGTTTGATATTTGGTCCCTGCCCAGACAGGATCTGCCTCAGTTGACCAAGGATGGACCAAGCTCCGGTGGATAGGTTTGAAACACCAAGGCTGCTCCATCCTCAGCCGATTAGGTACTATTCCATTTACTCCTTGAAAATATGGTTACATGTACTGTAGATCCTTTAGACCACTCTTGATGGGAGGACCTACTCCATAACAAGTAGGCAAAGACTTCATCATCAGCAGAGGAGTATTTTTCATGCTTTGAACACCCTTTAGGAAGTGGACTGGTTTTCTCTGGAATCTGCCCTGGGAATAGTGATCTGTGCAGCTTTATCGACCAATCGTGACCAACCATAAGCAGCCGATTCTCCCACCTTTAACATAGATGTATGCGCTGTGCTCCTTGACTCCACTCGCAGCAGGCAGGCAGATAGTGTACACGCCTTCATGCTCTTTGTGCATCTCCTTCACTGTCAGAGTTGTTGCACTAGGTCCAGTGTTGATCTCAATTCCCTCGGATTCTTTGAGTGGGACTCCTAGAGAGCAAAAGAAAACACGGAACATTTGGGTAACTTGGGAAATCTCCTATTCAAGCCAAAAGCCATGTTTTGAGCCCACAAGCTCATGTTAGAAAAGCTGTCAAGATCACTAAAGCACTAGAGATTCTCTGCTAATAGCAGGTAATGGCCATCGTTATCCAAGTGCCACGGATAAAACTTAAGGAGTGTTTAACTCTCAGTTAAGTGAAGAATTTTCTAATTTCTGAAATGACTACCTGAACAAGGCCATGGCAGCCAAAATCACTCTCTCACAATCTTTTCCAATTGATTATATGTCACAATCCTAAGATAAACGAAGGACATCTCACTGTAGCATTCTACACATAATTGGAAAATAAAATAAATAGGAATTTCAACACTGGAAAATACGATTTTTCCCAGCCTCTAACTCATAATGAGAATAGCAATGTATAGTATTCATTAGAGAAAAGAATCGCTGGCGAAAGTAGGCAATGTCAACTAATATATTTTTATTGCCTTCTAGCTTCCACAATAACTGCACTGCTGTCACAGTCCATGTAAAAGAATAAACTGCCTTGTTTTCTTGAAAGCCTTTAGTTTTCTGGGCCTGCCATATTTAATGTTAACTGATTTCGTCAGTGCATTCGATCAAGATTTCAGTCCAATCTATCCAGGCTACCATCACTGACTTTATGATGATAGATGTTTAAACTAAAATCTATGATTGAAATTGCCAATTAGTTTTTGATTTGGAATAGCCCTTTGTATGTTCTCTATGTCTCATGTCTCAGCTCGCAGTTTTGTTCACAAAGGAGGTTGAGGAGTTGTAGGCAGACTCCTCTGACTCTCCCACCTTTGAAACACTTGTTTTCTAACACTTCACAGGCAGCACAGAGGGGTGTCTCTCATCCACCACACTACATACCTACTAGAGTTTAGGAGTTCACAGGGGGAGCTATGTTACTGACAGAGCCCTGGCAGAAGTATAATGTGACTGTAGCTTGGTGAATGCTAGTCCCACTTTGGCAGTTAATATATCCTGCCTCATAGACCCTGCAAGCTGATACAGGCAGGTGAACATGTAATTTCTCATGGTGCAATGTCTTTGTAGACATAGCAGTAGAACATCATGCCTCCAAAACAGCAAACTGACCATCTCTAAGCCAGGTGATTCCACGCTGGTGTGCTAGCAAGGCAGAAGAAAATCCGCAAGACAGGGTGAAGGCTTCTCCCTCTTTGGCGAAAGACGGCTTGAAGGCTGCCTCAAAATCTGCCTCCTTCTCAGACGCTGCAACTGTGGAGGAAAAGGAAAATAACTTTCTAGAAGAAACGGGTACCTTCTAGAGAGGAGTACAATAATAGCTTTAGGAACAGTGATTTTGTTTTACAGTAGAATCCAATAGAAAATGTAAAACAAACATTGCCAACAGAAAAGACAATAGTGCTACACGAGATATGAGCGTTATTTTACATTGTTTGAAATAGATATTGCAGTGGGGACAAAAACAAATTTCCTGAATCTGTTTCTCCTACACCCAGGGACATGGAGCCATCTACCAGATTAGATTATTAATATTTAAATTGATTTGCCCTAATTATTCTTTACTTATTTTCTTTACTTTTCCCCACCTATTACAATTCACAGTACTGATGTTGCCACACCAACACATGAGATAGTGTGTTAAAGTATGTTAAGACACTTTCAATTAATGACTTATAGAAAAAGTGTTGAAATAGTACTATCTACCTTTAAATACAGTATCTGGGTTCCTTAAAAAAAGTGTCACTGTTGGCCATTTATGTGATGTAAATGATGTCACAACATTTTTCACATGTTAGTTTTTTTTGTCTATGACCACAATTTGTATTCACATGGTTTCATTGACAATTCCTACATATGTAATGTTTTTCTTTCAGTCTTTAAAGATGAAAGAAAACACCCTTTCTACAGTGCTATAGAATAAAAACACTACAATTTAAGAACAACTAAGCCAATTTGGTGGCAGACAAATTTAGCTAAGCCTAGTCAATCTCCATCACCAGGCAAGGTATGGTATGTAAAGCATTTTGGAAACATGGGGATATATAAATATATTGAACATCAAAAGAAACTGCTCTACACATGATTGTTTTTGGTCTTATTTTGGAAGTGATTATGATCAAACTCTCTGATGCTATCACAGCTTCTTTCAGGAAATGGAGGAGATCCTAATATCAATTAGCTATGGGTCACTCCTACTGACCATGCGATTCTCTAGTGTTTTGGCAGAGCAGCATATGTTGTATATAAGCATATGGTATTTACGGTACATCTTGTACTACATTTGTAGTCAATCAGTATCTTACATTTAAATTTTTACATCTGCTTTACTGCTTCTTTTTCAGAAGTATACAGTAGCTCAAAAGATCCAACAGAGAGCTGGAATTCCCAGGAGACCAAATGAAAAACAAACATAAAAGGACAGGACACTCTTTTTGTCACAGTGTTGCAACTTCCTTGTGCTGATTGATCACTTTTGTGGAAATCACTTATGTGCTTCAGCTGAGGATTTTCAGAGTGTCTTGGCTACTGGGGTTGTGGAAACAATGTTATGAGTGGCATCAAGGACAAGACAACATAGAGAGAAGGAGCCAGCCTAACAGTCAGAAAGGGTATATGAGTCTTTGATTCTGGACAAGGTATTTGTAGAGGAATTGGTAAACTCCTCCTGGCTGGGTTTCTACAAGATCAGTCAAACTTGCCATTACCTGCCAAGAAAAAAGATGACCTACATTCACAGCTGAGTGCTGATAAGGAAGATAATTCTAATGCTGGACACTTTGGTAAGAGTGACCTGCCTTCCACTAATTTTGGGGCATTCAAATAAAGAACTGATTGGCCAAAAGTTTGTTTTCTGTTTTTTTTTCCTGTACGCCCAAGTTTGAAAGCATAAAATGCAGATTTAAAGAAATGTTCTAGAGGTGGTTCTCACCCACTTTCCTCTCACCTGAACACAAATGTCACATCTCTAGAGCACTCACGTACTGTACAGTATACATCATTCTTACCCCTGCCCAGCTTCACCTTTTTGTACATGGCAAAAATCATCTCATCTCCATGTCTTTTGGGACACACTGCTGGTATATTTTTGTTCCATACGAAAGCCTGCTTAAAGATATAGCTATATCTTTCGATTTATACATCAAAATATATTCTGTTTAATGAATTGAGAGATACCCTCTAACTAGGGCTTGGATGAACTGCCATCGTTTCACTCAATTAAGTAAATAGACCAATTAAAGGGACTATGACTATCGACTATGGCCTTTTGTCTCAGTTTGATACTACCTATCAAAATTTAATACTCTGAACTTCTATATGCAATCGTCTTTTTTTACATGTTTTTGGAACATTTAAAATGGTTAAAAAATGAACTGTGATTTGAAGGAGCCTTTGAAAGCCAACATTGAAACATGTCTTCCATATTTATAAGGCTATTTTGCCACCTGTAAGGCCTAGTGATAGACAGCACGTAGCAGGGCTATGACATTTTTTAATCAGTGTGAGAAAATCCTGGAAGTTGAGATGTGGCATAAATTGAGTGTCTTACATTGCAGACCATCTTCATTACTTTAATGTGGCACAGATGTAAAGCTGAAAACAATTTTAATCACTGCCTAATTCTACATCTTAGAATTCATACCTCAGTTTTTAAGAGCTGCTTGGGAGCCATACATTTGAAGCCTTCTGCTTGCACTATAATTAGATTGGGTTTTATTAAAGTTTGTTACACCTGAAGAAAAAAAAGATGAAGAATCCTGTGTGTAAGCTCAGAATCCAATGAAAATCCATTTCACAAGTTTACCTCAGTGAATTAATTGCAATGAGAATAAAGTGCTATTAAAAGAAAGAGTACTGTATCACATGATAAATATGGGTGTTTCTGTCGTAGATGGAGATACATTTAAGTGAGACGATGAAGGTCCACAGAAGGTTTAGCCAGAAATGGATGTAAGGAAATGAAAAATGAAATAGAAGAAAGACATGTCATTCTTAACAAGCTGCTTAGGGAAAAAAAAATCTGTATTTGACTCTAAGCAGCATTCCACAGAAAGGAGCAGTGCGGAGCTGTGGCTAAGGATCTGCACCTGTGGCTGGGCTGAAAGGTTGCTGGTTTGTATCCCACAGCTGACAGAGGAATCCTACTCTGTTGGGCCCCTGAGCAAGGCCCTTAACTCCAACTGCTCCAGGGGGGCCGTATAAATGGCTGACCCTGTGCTCTGATCCCAAGCTTCTCTCCCTGTCTGTGTGTCTCATAGAGACTAGGTTGGGTGTATGCTAAAAGACAAACTCCTAATACAAGAAATTGTATATGGCCAATAAAGTGATCTTTCTTATCTTACAGAAAACAATGAACATTTTGTTCAACGTTTAGACACCTAATTGGGTCAATTTTTTTAAGGAACTCCTTTATTTCTGAAAAGATAGCCTCATCTTTTCTAAAACGCATAAGACCAGGTTCAAGGTTCATCTAGGGTGATCAACAGGGATGGGTCGTCTCATTATAACATGACATTAACAGTTGCATGGGCCATCTGGTTTATTGGGTCTTGAAGCACACTGTGTGGCAAACAAGTGGAGCATCATCTTCAAAGAGAAGCTCTCTGATCACCATGCACCTAACTTTTGATGTTGCAATCAGATCTCTGATCGATTATGTGTGGAATGCGAGTGGTAGTATAAAAGTATATACACATACTTTTATGTGCCTTTATATTAGGTTTAAGCTACATATGGAGCTTTGGCAACCTTCCAGATAAACACTTAATGTGGTTGAACCAACCCCACAACAGGTAGTAATACTGTACTTATCATTCAAGTAATAAATTTGAATTAATAAAATATTTTATATCTCACACTTGGAAATACAGACTGTGGATCTGATATTCAGCTCTGGTACCATGTGTGAGAAAAGAGGAGGGTGGGCACCGTGTTCCTCTTCCTCCAGAAATGTGCACAGTCATAGCCATCTGCCATTTTATTCACTGTGAACCCTATTGCACCCACAGCAGAGTTAGTATTGAAAGAAAAAAATGATAAAGCTCTCACAGACAACATTACAGTCTTAGAGGGGTCACTTTTGCCCAGCAAGCCAAATCTAATGCTCAGTCCTGGGGCTCAGTTAATCCTTTGCTTTTTGGACAGGAATTGCGACTAGCTAATAACATAGTCTGATCCATTCCTGGACTACAGGGCTCATCCTGTGTTCAAGGAGACTTCCTTTTCTGGCTCAGCCATTCAGAAGGCCCTAGTTTTAAAGTACTTCTACAGAAAGGTCAAAATACCACCTGTTCTTTAAAGCATATCAGAAGATACCATTATGATGAGTAATTACTATATGACATTGCACAAATGTGATCATGTTCCTATGGTCATACTGACTTTTCCAGGATGGAGGTGCCTTTTAAGCATCAAAGTACAACTAGATAACAAGCGGCTAAGTTATTTAAATCAAAACCTTTTTCTATGTACTTTCTTTTCTATTTCTATTAATGGTGTCACTCATGCAGCAAGCATCTCTTTTTTTGTCCAGGAAGGGACAATCCAATTTTGTATTCTGGCAGCACTTGTGCTGTTTATTGCATGACTTCATTTCCATTTGCAATAGCTAATAACTAGAATGTTTTTCAGCAGAAATTAAAATGAGGAGGATTAGCATCTGAAGATATTTTAGTCATTAGATCAAAACTGGCATTTGCCAAAGTTGGGATTTTCTAATGCGCTTAATCCTTGCATTTTGTCTCCGTTAATGTGCTTGTTTTCCAAGTTCACTGTGCCACATGACATTCACTCCGAGTGGAAGGATTGTTTTGACATTGGCATTATTGCAAATGAGAATGGGCTGTTAATCCGTTGAGGTGAAATCAAGGGGCATCCCTAATTCACAGTAAGGTCTGATTAAATACTAACAAAATTACACCTGAATATTTTCCAGTAAATTCACTTACCCTAAATATCATAAACCCTGGACAATTAAATTTAGAAATGCAAGTCTAGGACTACTGCTGATCTAGTTCTGTGAAATTGTGCTTTCCTGTTCTACTGATATCTGATATCGATCACATGTGTGAAAGCAAAATCCCAATTTTAATACAGCCTGGTATTTTTCCTAACCTGGTACCCCAGAACCTAGACATTTCATTTCCAACGATTGCTCAGTGGCTCATCTGTATCTTTAAGCAAACTAATATTTGCTTAAAAAACAGAGCCAGATTTCTGGCTCTGTAAGGGTCAAGAAATTTCAGAAGGCCTTTAAGGTTTAGCAAACTGGAAGTTGATGCTTTTTTTAACAGCTTTTTTGTTTCATTGGAAAATTGCTTTTTCCAATTGAGGGTAAGAGTAGTTGGAAAGATATCAGGATCTAAGAGCCCAGCCTCAACCCTAACTATAAACCTCAACATTAAAATCAAAATGCCTAGGACATCTGACACCTGCATATATAGTATGCCCTTTGTGATATTCAATAAAAATGCATTGTAAGCTTTTGTTAGCTTGAACACGCTCATCAAAAAAACAAGTTTGTCATTGGATTTGATTGGAGAATGGTGTCCAAATTAATGACCATCATGGACAACGTCTCCCACCCCCTCTATGACATGCTTGTGGGAGTGAAGAGCACGTTCAGCAATAGGCTGATCCAACCAGGGTCTTGCCTACTGCCAGAAAACTTTACAACTCATCCATTGTGTGTCTGGGCAGGGGCAATATTAACCTGTTTTGGAACTAAACCTGAATCCTCTGTTTACAACTGGCCACAGAACAATTTCCAAAGAAATATGTGGAAGTGGGTTGGGCAATTTATCAATAATTGTGTAATATATATTTACACTTGTACAATATGCTTGTGGACTGTACAATACATTTTCTTTATGCACTTTACATTCTGGTTTATTTTGTATATTTTGTATTGTGTGCAATTCTTTATACTCCATTTTTAATTGCACTTCTCACTGACTGTATTTATCGTATTGTAATATTTTATTGTTGCATTATTACCTTGTAATTTTCTGTGTTGATTGCGCTTGGCTGCTGTTGCACTGCACTTATGGGATTAACAAAGTATCTATCTTTTGATAATTATTTGCAAGTGCCTCCAATACAAATTGGCACTGGCAGGCTGACTGTAATTTATTAGTCATAGACACAAAGGGTGTATCATTATCAAAACATGTGTACTACAATTAGTAATAATAACTGTGATTTACTTCTTTACTTTTGAAATTTTACTTGAAGTAAGTGAAGACTTTAGAGTGCTTTAAGGAAAGCCAGAGACAAAGTCGTTCTTCAGTTTCAGTTTCCATACAGAAATTCCATACATTGTCCATACAGAAATTTCTCATTTGAAAGGATGTTCTTACTTGGGGCTTGTGTGTGGTCATATCCTGACTGCGGACCATGGCATGCTGAAATGAATCAAACCAGAAGAGCCACATTAATCCAAAGCACATCAAATATTCCCTTTCACAGTAAGAAAATAGTTTTTTGAAGTATACATGCTAAAGAAGAGTATGAACATTGTCTCAGAAATACACTGTTATCGTGGATTTACCCTTTTCAGTAGATGTCACTGTTATTGTCCATTTACAATGTTTCAAAGAAGGCCAATTCGTTCTTTTGCTCTTTAATTGGAAACTGTCTTTTTCTTAATAAAAGGGCATAAGAGGCATATTGCTTGCAGCCAATATGGCTGATAGATCTTGTCAGTTAGAGAGACTCACGCTTTTCTATTTCCTTTGAGAAATCATATCTCAGCCTCACATTAAAACATAGTCAGAAAACAGTAGGGCAGCACAGAAATGCGTTAAAGTCTCTGAATAATTAAAGCTTAAATGACACTCAAATGAGGGACTAGTTGAGCTGCCTTGAGGAATTTGATATGAAAGAATGAAATATGAAAGAGAGGGAAAAAAAAAGCAAAAACTTGGAAATAATATCAATGATCATCCAGGAGTGCTTGTCAATGTTTTGACATCCCTCCTCCAGACACCTAAGACTGAGAATCCAAAACAAGAAATCTAGCAGGGAAATGTTTTTTTCTCTTGCTGAGATACTGGTTAGTGATGCTGAATATGAGCGTGACCCCTAGATAAAACTGTTAAAATGTGAATGCTGAAACCCATTTGTTGGGGAGAGAACACCACTTCTGCCTATAATGATGCCGTCTACCTCACGAGCTGTGAAATATATATATATATGTAAAAAAATAAATTTCCTTACAGTTTACAAAGACCATAGCGTAGGAGGAAGCTGTGCCCAAGCAACTTGTGATCACTATTCTGTATTCCCCTGAATCATCAGGAGTACATCTGAAATAAAAAAAGAAATGAAAATGTCTGTTTATTTCTTCACTATTAGTCGTTTTCAACGATGGAGAAATTCTGTGAGCCTTGGTAAGCCTACATACCTTATCCTACTGTTCCTTTGTGCCTGATGCCTAGTCACTTAATATATGAAAAAGTTCTCTCTTTGTTCGTGATCTTATTATGACATAAAAAGTCACAATTCTTGTCTGCTTAGTCACAAAACCAAGGCTGCTTGGTTTTTCGGCGGAACGGATCTATGTAATGCCTCTTGTTTCTTTAATGCATTAAAAGCTATGCGTTAAAGGTCAGATCAGCAGGTAGAAAATTTTGACGATGCTTTGTTTGCAAACGGCACCACAGCCCAAGTAACACCCTCATTAAAGACACAGTGTCATATAACAATAGTCATAATCTGTCATAACCACCTTTTAACATAACATAGCACTATCATTTTTATGACATTTATCATAATACAAAGTGTATGAACCTTGTCTTACCTTTTAATCTCCAGTGTGTGGAGACCATACATTTTCTGTATCTTGTGCTTCCAGGGCTGAAGTGAGGACCTTTGTAATGGAATTCCATCCTTATACCTGATCAAACACAGTCAATGATTAACACTCAGGGGACTGTCAGTTAAAGCACAAAACAGGCAGAAATAAGGAAGAAAGAGAAAAAGGAAGGATCAAGAGAAGGAAATTCTTAATGAATCTGAGATGGGTGTCACTATTCTCTTTAGAGACCAGAGGTTTCTTCCTGGCTATCCTCTCATGAAGAGCATTCCCTGGCAGTCTTTTCTGATGCTTGTGGCATGCACACTGACAGTATCAGCAGCAAGAGAGAGACCTGCAGATCCTTAAATTGTTCTTTGGGGGTTTTTGTGACATGCTTTGTGAATTTCCAGGTTGCTCTTGAAGAGATCTTGGCAGGGTGATTTTTCATTTGTAGATTGTGTAACAGTCAATGTTCGGAACCCCAGATGGTTTAGAAATTGTTTTTTTTTGCCTCTCCAGACCGATGATCATCAAGTACTCTTTGTTGGAGGACCTCTGAAATCCCTATTTCAGCAGTAGCATGAGATATTCCCACCAACCTGGATGTTTCTGATCATTATTTAACCACCTGTGTCTAATTACACTCTTAATTGTGCTAAGCTAACATGGAGTTAAAATATCATTTCACATACACAGACTTTTAATTATTCTTTTTTTCTGCTTCATAAACAATTGAGTCTCAAAACACCAAAGTGGTAAATACAAACACTTTTGGTCAGGTGAAAAAGCAGTTTTGACAACAAGAGCATGGTAAGAAATTTTAAATGCAATGATTATACTGGGTGTTCACCAACCATTTCTCAATTTGTACTTGTACAATAGGTAGCTCAGGAGGCTTCAGCACAGGGCTGATAATGCCAAGACCTAGGTTCAATTCTTTCCTGTTTCAAAGAGAAAGTGGACAGTACACAGTACACCTCAGCGCCTGTTTATGAGAAGCATGACTCTAATGCGTTTCTTTCCTTACGGCCTGACCTGGTTATGAACTGCACATACAATGCTGTTTTGTTCAGGACCAAAGTAGCATACTGTATAACCAAGGCATTTTTTTCAATGACTTTGTCAGAAATTTCCGGAGACATTGATAGTCGAACACAATGATGGCTGTTTTGGTAGAACATCAGCACAGTTCCTCGTGCATTTCTTCTTTCTAATAATTCCTTGGTTTTGTATAGAAGTTCAGTTTTCATTCTAAAGTACCTTGAAGCACTTTCCAAGCTGATAGGGACCCACTTTATGCACTTTATGCATCACTGAAGTGTTTATTGGAGTGACAAACAGCACCCATTCGGCAGCAGCAACCCCTCTGCACAGCAGGTAGAGATGTGAAACTACTGTACACTGTACTGCCTCAGACAGGAACTATACTGCATTGCAACAGCCAGAAATGATATTGTACTAGCTCAGGTGAAGCATTATAATGTTCTTACATCTCCAGAAAGTGTACTGTACTGCTACTGCCAGAAACAATACTGTATCTCAGAAAGGAACTATAATTGACTGCCAGTCCTAGGAAGTATACTAAAGTACCAAAGCTAGAAACCATACTCTACTGCTGGTACTACAAAGTATACTACATTGCTACTACGAAAGCCAGAAACTATACTATACTACCTCAGACAGGAACTATACTGTACTGCTAGTGCCAGGAAGTATACTATACAGCCCCAGACAGTGCTGTACTGCCAGAAATTATACCGTAGTGTCACATCCAAAAGCAAATACCCTCATTTTTCACCATTTTAACATCTTTGGCATCCTTGGTAATGTTCCTGTACTGTTTAACATTGTTCTGTTTGACACTTGGATTTTTCATCATGCAGCCTGAGATAGCTGTGG